AAGCAGTGGTATCAACGCAGAGTACTGGCAATCCACAACACCATTATCGACCTGAACGGGTTTTTGAGTTATCGCTTAGGCCTAAGGCATACCTCGCGCGATTCCGGTCGCTGCGCGATTTGGCTTGACAGCAACTCTTTCTAATTCGTCGTTAATGCGCTTCCTTTGGTCAGGACTTGATCCATTTGCAACAACTTACACAAGCCACTCCCCTATGCGTTCGAGAAGCGCGCACGATAAATCTGTAGATATCTGGCAAATCGCCAAGTCGCTTGAGAGCGGCGATTTGGCCGAATCGCGCCAGGTATGCCTTAGGCCTTAGGCAATGGTTCAGATAGCGCACTCTAAGACCGCGGACACACTTCACGCGATTTGATCGACAACTGTTACAACATCATTCCATGCCAATCAACTTGCATTCGGTTGTGATACTTTTCCAGCCCGAAATTTTTGAATTTAAAATGGAAATGAACGGAAATCGCGGCGATTAAATCGCGATGATCAAATCGCGTGAAGTTTGTCCGGGGCCTAATGTCGACATCAAAGCCCCGGCTTTTCGGATTAAGTTGTACAAGTTCAAAACTAGACCTTTCCGTAAGAAAAGAGTATTATTTCTATAATGGGGCAAATAAGTAATAATAATACACTAGAAAATTTCCACTAGCTTCATAAAATCCAACTCCAACTGGATTTTTAACAGCGCTAATCAAAGCTGTATCCACAAGTACAAATGCAGCATAAAATTGCGAAAAAAATGAGGCAAAATAACTTCAGTAAAAAGACAATCATGCTGTGAACCAAGTTTTAACGAAGAAAACTTTGTCTGTTACAACCGTTAGCAGAAGGGTCTCATGTTGAAACGAGTAACCTTTCAAGTTTGTGGCAATTACCAGATTCCTAAACATTATTAGATCGAGAGGACGTCATAATTACGGCATTAACATTCGAAAAATGAACAAAACGACAATTCCTTTCGGCCAGAAAGCAAAGCTCAGCTATAAATTATTTATGGACAAGAGGAATCCACTCTAATTAGATGCCATTACAGCCCTCTAGTATTCTGAGGGTGCAGAAAGCATTAATCTGCCAGAAAGGATTTTCAGATGGAAAACGGCCTTTGCAAATATAAAATAGATCCAACTTAAGAAACCTACTACTTATAAATGAAACAAAACGAATAAGCCTAGGAGAGCTACTAATGATCTATCGATCCATTGACCCAGATTTGACTGGTGTTTCAAAAAATATGTGCAAACAAATGAATACCTGGTGGAACGGGAGGGGGGGGGGGGCAAGACACAACAGCACATTGCAACCAAATACCAAAAAATTTGTACAATATACCTACAATTCTTACTAAAACTGTCGAAGGCTTAAAACTTTCAGCATATTTTTGAACTCAGTCTACCGGAGGAATGCGATTGAGCAGTTCCCTGTTTATCTCCAGAATTTCATCCACTTGTTCTTTGACCTGATCCATCTCCTCCGATAGTCTTCTGTCATTTTCGATAATGATTGCAAGCATGGTCTCTATCCTTGTAATTCTCCTCAGGATCTCCTTCATAACGGTTGGAATAACTTCAGTTTTCATCTCATCTTCAGCATCGCTGGAATTCTTGTTGTTGATCGCGGGGAACTTCATGTCTTTAGTCCAGCAACTTATTTGTACCTAAATATTATATTTTTATATCCCAGGCTAATCGTCATAAATTATCATAAAATTTAAAGGAGAAACTGCCGAACTTACAAGTTTCTGTTTCTTCTTTCGCAAAACTCTACCGTTCTTGATTGAAAAATGTGAGAGCAGGGGAATCCAAAGAAAAACCTGAAAACAAGTTCCTTTTGTGGGCAAACTTGAGAGGTACTTGAGAGGTTTGGAATAATGAAAGTACGATAGCTGTATAATAAACAAGATTCTTATGCCATATTTTGAAAACGGATAATTCATAAAATTGGGAGATTAAATATGAAAAATGAATTGTTAACCTGATGCTCTTAAAATGACAATATCTTTTTCTTTAAAAGGCACAAAAACTTTCCTTTGCTATCTCCAAAAAGATCAATGGGACTATCTCACAAATGGAAAAAAAATCAACACGTCATGCCTTAATGTGGAGATCAAAAAATGAGGAACAGTACTAAATTAGAACCCCCCCCCCCCCTAACAGACAAAAAACGTGAATGCTTGCGCTGTTTTCTAACGGCTATTTATAGCGTATCGGAGTGCATTGACTCCCTGGCCAAGGTTCTTGTCATGCTTATGAGGTGCGAAATTTGCCCATGGCTTGCTGATATAGCCTCTATCGTGTCAGAGTAATGTATGGGCTAGTCAGCTTATCTAGAGTTTTTGGAAAAAATATATATATAAAAGTGCAATATTGAAAAAAGAAAACAAATTCAGAAATTTTATGCTTGATTTTCTTTTTCTCATTTTATTAGATGGGTCCGAAAGTCCGTGCCGTTTTTTAGACCTATCCTCAAATCATTCAAAATAAAGATAGGCAAACACTCTAAAAAGTGTTATATGCAGAATTGCTTCCTCTTTCCAGCAGTTATGTTTTTGTTTGGATTCCTTCAAAGTTCTTTCGAATAATCGCCACAATCTCCAACCCATGCATTTAGGTACTTATTTTAGCTCTATTCAAATTCGTTTTGGGCTTTAGAAAAATCTTTAATAACTATTGGATACAGCAAACAAAATGCTACAAGACCCAATTTTTTAACATCGATAGCTGGTTTTTCAGTAAATTTGAGAACAAGTTTTTCAGAAGTTTTCACATTTACGAAGTCGTGAAATATACCAACGCTTCAAACACTATAAAATCTTCGCAAATTGGAACTTTCAAAAATCGATTATGATTAAACACTATTTTTAAATCTTTTTACCGTCTCGAAAGTTGACTTTAGAAATCGTAGGTGCAGCCTGGGACGCATCACAAAACTAAGATTATGGCAATCTTTTCCTCGAGGCCTTTACAAATTAGAAAGGAATAACATCTATCAAGATGAGGTGCAACGAATGACACCCTAACCGTTTGCCGTCTGATGTTCTATGGGACTGGCATCCCCAAATATGCACCCCTATAGACTGGTACTGAAGCAATGAAGCTAATCTGAGTAAAAAAAGATAGCAGGACTTTGTGCTTTTTTAGCGCGGTAATTGTTTCTTCAAGATACAGTACAAGAGCGTTATGTTCCGGACAGCCCTTCTTCGCGGTTCTAAACATTTTGTAAAATAAAGTTATTTTGCCTTCCTTCAAGTTCCGAGATTTCGGCACCGATGGCCATCGTGTTCCAAAAAAATTCTCAGTGATTGAGTCACATCACTGTGCTAGAGCACACATTGTACTATAAATCACAAACTTTTGCAGTGAACTTTTATCAAAAAGTCTTAGATCTTTTTAGAGTCTGCTAACAATGAGCTAACTTTATTCACCGACCGTCGATAAAGCCCGGTCTTTCTCAAATGTGCATCACTGCATAGAAATCTGACGTGATCTGCCGTCTCTTCTTATCACATACTCTTTGATGGGATGCAACCACTTCTGGTCCATGCGTCCGTCAACATTTATACTACTGCCTCAACTACAACTAGATTCCTTGCAATCAATAATCAATAATGTATTAGGTTTTAGCGCATCTGAAAACTTAAGATTTTAGAATTCAAAAAATCTGTAAGCTCATCCCGGGAGCATTGTTCTAATTTGGTTAATAAAATAATAGTAGGGGACCTTAAGAACTGATTAGATTAAAAAGCAATATTTATTATTGCATATGAGAATTCAGTATCACAGCATATAAACAACTTGACGCGATTTCAAATGAACGACGTCAAAATTTCAAATAGCCAAGTACAAAATACATTATCCGAGCTCGAGTACCCGACTGCGTCAAAGGAATGATATATGTATAGCTAAACCTCCACTCCACATAACCTCCAGTCATTTGTAACTTAATATGTGAGACTGCACACTATGCCCTATTGGCGACGGCAATCTTACTAGTAACTTTCTAGTGAAATAGTTTCTAGTCTAACGAAGTGTTGAAATGTGTTATACTGGCTAACATGTGACCAACAAAAACAAAAGAGACAAGCAAACATAGTGAATTCACTGGAAATGAGCGGGTTTTAGTTTTGCAGTTCGTGAATCAGAGTGTATAGTGTGCATTACGTATATTCAGTTACAAATGACTCGACGGTATTTGTACGAACCAAAGTATTCATCAGCAAGCCCATGGCTTTGCTCTTGAGCGAAGTTTCCCTTGCTTGTTTGATCATTTAGAAAACCGTTTTGCTGCGAAACTCGGAATATCCTACATTTTGGGAGGCGCTCGTTTCGTGCCGGCTGCCCATTGGAAAACGTCGCAACGCGGCAGCGCGCTGGGAGAAGTAGTGTAACAAACTTGTCAAATGTGTACATCTAAATCATCAATGCTTCTTCTATACTGTTAGTCTTTTGCATTCAACAGTTTGTGTCTCTTTTGTCCTTTAAATTGCTAATTTTACTAGTTTTGTAGGGTAACTTCAAATAAGTAAGCAAAGCTAATATGGGAATAGTCTGTGAACCTCAACAAGGGATGGGGTGTGCTGAGAATCATGCTAGCCGAATTTTTTGAGTGCGGTCACTGGCAGCCTGTCGCGCGCGACGTTTTCCAATGGGCAGCCAGCACGTAACGATACGCACCCCTGTCATGGCAGCATCTCAAAAAAATCCCACGAAAAGCTAAAATGGGGATTCCTAAGGTTGAGGAGAATTCTGGTGACTTTATAGTAAGTACTGCCTGTTCAGCGCTGCTTAGCTGAGTAAATAATTTTCAAAATTATGCGATTATGCCTTCTAGATGAATCTCTGGTTGCGTTCTGCTCAGACAACTGGCCGGAACTTCCGCAGCGCTTTCGCAGGGTTTCCACAGGTGACCCGGCGGAAATCCTGCGAAAGCGCTGCGGAAACCCTGCAATCTCAGGGTGCAGAGTTTCCGCAGCACTTTGTTTGGAGTTCCGCAGCACTTTGCGGTTTTCGCATTTGATTCGCGCTCCGTTTCTTCCATATTAAGCTTCCTTTTTGATAATAGGTTTTCCTTTCCAATACTAGGTTTCGCTTCTTATTGAGGCAATATTCCTTTGAGGTGGAAATTCCTCTAGACTTTCTAGATGCTAAGAGACGTAGACAGCGAGATGGTTTTGGTGAGAAAGCAAATGGCACATTGTATTGTTTTATGCAGGTACCATATAGAATCACAATAGGCCGAAGTTGATAACTGCAAATTGACAGATCAATGAAGTGTTCATAAATAAAATCACAGAAGCATTCGAGTGTATATGCATAACCGAATAAGATTGGAAAAAATCGGCAGATATTAAAAATTAGAAAGCAATGTTATACTGATGGAAGAGTATAGAATAATGGAAGAACGAGAATAAAACAAGAATAACAATCTCATCCACAAAGGATAATATGCGCTTCAAAGGGAAGATGGTCTATGGAGAAATAAACCGTTTCCACTTATAGGGTGTCATTTTGACCTTGTCCGCGCGACTGAAGCCGGCTTCGGTCTCCCTTCTTTTCTGTAATGAGAATTAATTAGAATTTCTTGATGTAAATGTGCCTTGCCGCAAGTGTTCCACTTTACAACTTTGCCAAGAAATACGGAGCAAATTTGGACTCCATTTAAAATTTTCGGAAATTTAGAAATCTCAACAAGAGAAGCTTTGAAAAAAATTTGAAAACTACAAGAGTATTCTGCAAAAATCAAGGCTTTACTTCGACTTGAATTTTTTGGAATTTTCGAATTTGGAGCGATAGAGCTTTTGTTTTATAATATTCCAGCATTTTCCACACGAAACAGGTATGTAGACTCTGAGGCAGGTATGTGTAAGTGAAAGTTATTATAAATTATTGTTGAATTTTTATAAATTAATACTTAGAAAATAATATTAGGTTGGTGCAAAAATAATGAGCGTTTTCCCATTTTTTCACTTTAACTTGCTATAACTTTTCGCTAAATCTACATTTTGAAATGTGATAAGGACCATCAGATGCAGCGAACCTTTCGCAGTACAGCGCACATTGAGCTATACTCATATCTCATATGAGCAGAAAAATATGGATTGAAAAACAAAAAAAGTGTTTTTGTGAAGTCTTGTTTTTGACAAAACATAACTCCTTTCACACTTTGTTGTTATAATTTCTAAGCAGCCTATCTTGAAGCCGCAAGCCAGTAGTACAAACATACATGGGAGCTTGGAGAAAAAAGATTAGCGAAGAGGGAAAAATCGAAATTCAAAAATATCAACTTTTTCAGCATTTTTTCAGTAGGCCTCAAAAACCCGAAGTATAGAATTTTTTAATTTTCTGCGTATGAACAGCTGGATGTTTTTGCTGCTAATAGGATTTCTACCTTCACGCTTACAGAGATGAGCAAAGTTCGAGCGACTGCATTTTAAAAGAGAAAGTTATGGGCACTAAAATGACCACAACCATTACCCATCTTAAGCCGCCGATATCTCACATTAGGTAACTTCAAAAAATATGTTCAAATATGCATAATGTAGACAATTTCCATTACATATAGAGGCTATATTTTCGATAAATCATCTTCATTTGCGCTCAAATTCAGGCCAGGAGAATGTATGCAACGAAAATCTGGTTTTGAGTGCGATTATTTAAAGCTCTATAAATTCTTAACAGAGTGGGCTATAAGTCCCTTTCGAACATGCTTAGATAGAGCATGAAAAGAGCTTTCTAACAATGTGCGAAACCCCTACAAAGAGAAAAGTTTGATGGAGAAAAGTTGTCCTGAAAAAAGTTCTTAGAAAACGCTCATTATTTTTGCACCAACCTAATACTAATAAACCAAAAGCTCGTCCCCATCCTTTTCAAAAAATTCGAAAATTTCTTTCTTCACATCCGATCTACACATGTTTATTTTGAAGGAAGACATGCTCTTTCTAATGGTACCTGAGGCACTTTTTGATATCCAGAGATCGAAGTCGGTGAAGAAAACTACTCCATTTCAATGTTCCTCATGTTTGGTCGCAAAAATCTGCTTGCAGAAAATCGAAGCAGTCGATAACAAAGCTATTATTACCTACTCTTTTTGAATGTACAAAGATTACGCTGATTGAACGTCTCCGAAAAAGTTATGGTTTTTGAGGAAGCCGTAAAAAAGAGTGAATATGATTTTTTGGCATCTGCTTCGAAAATCATAACTTTTCATAAAGAGGTTCAATCAGCGCAAACTTGGCACATTCAGAAAGAGCAGGCTATAAAAACTATAACGCTCGATTTCCGTTGCGAATTTCAGTTTTGCAACCAAACGCAGAAATTTTTAGAATGGAGAATTTTCTTCTCTGGCTTTTATCTCTAAAGCTTGCTTCCTTCAGGTAGGTACTATTGGAAACACCAATTCCAAAATAAACACGCGCGGATCCGCTGAAGATGTAGGAAATATTTGAAAGGGAGAAAATCATTTAAAACAGCAAGAACAGAGGAGTAGAGAAGGATAGATACATTAAAGCAGTGGCGGTGCAAGAAACTTTTTCAAGGGGGGAGGGGGGAAAAAACTATTTGGGTTTGTGGGCGTAAGCCACCGAACAGAGGGAAATTTAGGAATGGTTGAATTTTTTAATTCCAGTTTGTACGCCCTCGATTTTTCTAGCAAAAAGGGGCGTGGAGTGAGCCGGCCATACCATCGAAAATTGCCTAGACAAACTACTTTAGAGTTTAGAAGAGCTTTCACCCTCAGTTATCTACAATCGCAGACTACTATGAATATTCTTGAGACCCATTATGCCCCGCCCCTTTCTTTTGATATATTTCTACCACATTATTTCTATTTTATTTAATTATTCAACACTATTATTTGGAAATTCTAATTTCGAATTTGTCGATGTTATTTTGAATCGTAAGTTTCGAATTTTTTTATCTTTGAATCAAAATTGTTATTTTGTGATGTGTGCGGTATTGTGAGAGGAAAAAGATTTAAAAATCAAAAGCAGAAAGGAGTAGAAAAGGATAGACACGCGAAAAGCAGTGGGGCGCGAGAAATTTATTCGAGGGAGGGGAGGTAGGAATTGAAACTTTTGGGCTCGTGGGCGTGTGGCCACTTCCAGCAAAAGAAAAATCAGAAATGGTTGAATTTTTGCGGATACAATTTTTGTACCACCTCGATTTCTTTTAGCACTCCTCCTTCGAAAGCTGTCCACAATTATTAGGTGGGATCAAAAGTACGTTTGCCGGTTCAAAAAATCATAATTTCTTTGCGACGAGATGGATCTCTTTGCATTTATATTTGTCTAAGAGAGGAAATCATTCTCTTAACAGCAGTACTTTTTCCATGAATTGGCATAAAAAAGTTCGAAAGTTAGAAGCAACTGAAGAAAATTACTCAAAATTGGCATTCTCAAGCAGGGTCACCAAAAAATTCTGGAAGTATTTTTCGATAGAAAAATCACGTTCTTTACTATAGCGTTTTTTCCGAAACAAAAAAAGACTGAGAATAGAAGCAAATAAAGAGAATTACTTCAGTTTTGCAATTTTTGAGCATGCTCAAAAATGCCCAAAACGTCACAGAAACGGGATATTCATGAACATGGGTTTTGTGACCTCCTTCTAGCTGAGAGAAATTTTGCCAATCGAAAGCAATTTTGATTTTCGTATAAAATCAGATCCGAAAACTCGGTAATATTACGAAAATTAAAATTGCTCTCGATTGGCACGAATTTCTCTCAACTAGAAAGAGGAGGTCACTAAACCCATGTTCACAGGAATTTCCCGTCCCTCCCGACGCAAAACTGAAGTTTCTTTTTATTTCCTTCTAATTCTCAGTCTTTTTTGTTTTTGGAGAAGGTAATAGTAAAGAGCATAGCTTTGTCTATCGAAAAATACTTTCAGACTTTTTTGGTGACCCTGCTTGAAAAATGCCAATTTTGAGTAATTTTCTTCAGTTGCTTCTAACTTTCAAACTTTTTTACGCCAATTCATGGAAAAAGTACTGCTGTAAAGAGAATGATTTCCTCTCTTATTGTTAGATGAATATAAATGCAAAGAGGTCCATAAAGTTGAAAGGAAGTTATGATTTTTTTGAAAAACTGGCGAACGTACTTTTGGTCCCACCTAATTTGGATCTGAAAATTTTTGAAACTATTTTAATATTCACCAAGAGCTTGTAGATCACTTTGAAATTCGGTGACCCATTCCCCCCCCCCTTTGTTTGATGTATTTCTCCTTAATCACTTCTGCTTTATTTATATCCAGTGTACTTGCATTACATATTATTTTGATCAAAGCACATAAAGCAAAGAAGTTCGACATACCTGAACAACGGCGTTGTGCTTAGACGAATTCCCTCCGTTAGTTCTTTTCCAGCACTCCACCACTTGGTGATGGTTGTTCACACACCTGCACCGATGTCTGAAAGAATACTTAGAATATGGATGAGTGTAGGTTTACTCACGCCAACATTGGAGAAAGAAAGAAAAAAGAGAAAGATTAGAGGAGGAAGAGAAGCGAAACAGAAACGAAACAGTAGGGAAGAAAAGATTGCGCTATGCGCTGTTGATGTTGCGTTCGCTATTTCGCAATCGCGAATGCATGCGCTCTCAAAGTCCTGCGGAAATGCTGGCAGGTCAAAGTGCTGCGGAAACCTTGCGAGCCTCACTGCACTTTCGCAGCGCTTTATGGAAAGTGCTGCGGAAGTCCCGGTTCACGGTCGGCTGTGACGTCAATTTCCTGCGGAAACCTTGCATTTTGAAGCGTGCACTTTCTCAATGATTAAGAAAGTGCTGCGGAAACGCTGCAAGTTCTGCTTGTCCTGCGGAAGTTCCGGTGAATTGTCTGAGTGATCATCAGACATGTGACCACAACTGCCATTTCCATATAAGGCTACGTTAACCTCCTATAAAAGAGTGAAGATGGATAAGACCGTACAATTACCGTGTTCTTAAGTCGTTACCGTAACGACTGGATGTAGTAGCTCGAATGACTACATAACCTTCTCTGACATAACATTTTAACGAAGCAATATAAACGGATGCAATGCTCATAATTAGAATCAGCAACTCTGTGTAGCCTAGTGCAAGAATCGTTTTGTTCGTTTGGTCGTTTTGTTTGCTATCTGGGGCAAATACTACTTATGGCTAAAACCATCTTCAGAGTACCTACCGTAATCCTACAGTAATAAATATCGATTGGTTATTCGCTCCTTACTGTGACTCTAAGGTGAAGCCAGCTCTACAGAATGGTGCCTGAGGGCAAGCAAGCGACTTCTTGGGAAGGAATGTATTAAACGAAGAGACAGTGGAGTGGGTAGGTACATACTTTTGGGACACCCCCGTATACGACCCTATACAGAGTTTTACCTTCCAGGTTGCCCTTCTTCATACTTTCGTGCATTTGCAAGAACAATGGTGTTAATTTGGTTTCGTTCCAGTTTCCAGAGTGAAGAGCCGTGATCATTATGTTTTAAAAAATTTGTCATGTATTTATCAGCGAGCTTCAAATTTGCCAAAGTATGTATGCACAGCAAAATCCTGGACTCCCAAATATAATTTGATGGAGAGATGGATGCTCAAAGTTTGTATATGTAAACAACCTTAATTATCTTAACATCCGATTGTGACTAAAGTATTGAGTCCTTGCAAGAAATTCGCATGATTACACAAAATCTGACTTTTTCCGATGAAGCGCGCTCTCAATACTTTCATCGTCTGCCGTCTCTTCTAACACAAACTCTCTTGTGGAAGCTGCAATTGCTTCTAATCTTGCATTAGTCATCAATTATGCAATAATAGCTCCATCTCTCATCCATGTGGACAAAAATGATTGATTTGAGAGTACTCTTGTCGCTATGTTGATTCTTAGATTTCTTCGCTGATTTTATTTTGGTTTCATCACATTTTTAGTGGAAAACCGCACTATTGCTCTCGAGCCCAATTTGCAACTGGTCAAGCTTATGAAGTAAAAGTCGACGAACTCAAAAGAAATGAGCAGATTTAAGCAGGCGAACATTTGATATCGTACATCTGAATTGAATATCACAGCATATGAATGATTTGACCAGAATTCCAATTAGAAAACAACGTCAAAATTTGAATGGCTAGGTAGAAAATGCGTTATCTGAGCTCGAGAATCACCCGATAGAAAGGAAAAAAATAAAGGGAGATAGCTTCTTTTCACTCCACATATATGTATGAACCAAAGTATTTCTCTCAGGCAACTGACCGGAATTTCCACAGAACGTCTGGAAAAACTCTGCCGGGTCACCTGCAGAAGGTCCGAGGAATGCCAACCACAACAGCAAAAAAGAACACATAAGCGAGATTTGAACCTAACTCTATTGATTGCGAGACTCACTTGAAATTCTCTGCACTACGGCTGATATGGTCACTAATACACTCTAATTGTTGGGAGAGGCAACGTCATACGAGACAACACATTCAAAACCCTACGGAAGTTTTGGCATGTGAAAGTAGTGCGGAACCGCTGGCATTTTTCGGAAGTCCCGCAGCGCTTTGTAAAAAGTCCTGCGGGGGTTCCCGTTTTTAACCAGTCAGACTTGAAAATCATGCGAAAGTTTCCAATTCCAGCGTTTCCACTTTTGCTATAGTAAACAAAATCCAGCAGAACGGCTGCAAATTTTGCTTGTCCTGTGGAAGTTCCGGTGAATTGCTAAGCTGAAATTCTCCCTTTCTCTTTTGGTGAATTACAAAGCCGTTCTGCTGCTGTACTAGTTCAGAATATCCAACATTTTTTTGTCATGACGGAATCGGAAAATTCCGTGGAAAACTTAGAATGGAGCATTTCAAGGTAAAAAAAATTGGTGAATGTGTTGGGTAATACTTGTATTAGTTACTTCTTAATGGAATGGAATTCTTGTTGGAACAACTTTATTGCTTAGGTACTCAAAAATTTGAAACATCTGTTGGTCTAGATAATCGCAAAAATTATGACTCATAAGATTCAGATAATCGAATTTGAACCTTAATTTCTTAAACCGCAACTCCTTAATCCACCAAAAGCAAAGCTCAGCTGTAAAACACTTGTGGGTATTCCTTAGATATTCCGCAGCATTAAAACCAAACAAAACTGAAAACAAAAAAAGAAAACATTATCATACATCAAACTGCCAGTACATAGGGAAGATTTTTTCCGACGATTTTTTTTTTGCAAATATGAAATAAATGCACAACAACAGCGAAATGAGCGAAGAATTTCACAGAATAGACAGTTAATAAAATAAGGATTGTGTTCAAAGAAGACGTACCATTCAATGGCTTGCTGGAAGGCGGGGCTTATGACCTGATTGAGGAAGCTCGTGCCCGCGAAGCACTCTGCGTCTCTCCCGCGCGCGTGCTCTCTGATCATTACCTAGCCTTAATTAGGTCACGAGCCCCGTCCTCCAGCAGCCAAGCCAGTTGAATCAAAGGGTAAATAATACCACTGATTACCAAAAATTCATGTACCTTGGAATATATACAATACACCTCAGTATTTTTGCTATTACAGGCGGCATGAATGAAAACAACAAGCTTTCAACGGATTTTTCAACAGACTCACACTTTGGAACGGTTAGAAGTTCTCCAGCCACTGTCGCGATCCCAAAAATCTCTTCTTTAAGCTGAATCATCTCTTTCGATAGTTTCGTGTAATTCCCAATACTGTTGGCGACCATGGTCTCTAGTTTTTTCATTTTTATAAGCCTTTCCTTTTCGAGGTTGGCGAGCTTCGCATCATTCTTTTTCAGGCCATCTTCAATACTACTTGAATTTTCGCTTGTGATTCCAGAAAAATTCATGTTTTCTGTTCCATTGATTTGTTGATTCAATGCTTTTATCGCTGCAGATTTAAGTGAAATCATATTGTGTCTTTAATCTGAAATACACAAAGATAAAATTGAGGAAAAAAGCGAAAACTCAACTGCTTACAAAGTTTTCTTCTTCTTCAATAGTGTATCGCACAGCTGGAAGAAATTGTAGATTGTAGAGGAACCAAGTTTTGACAAGAATCTAAAATAAAATTTTTTTAGATTGCATACCATGTGTTAGGCTGGTAAAGTTGGTCTGAGGTGAAATTAACTATGAAATTTCGAATTCGTCCGATACAAGATGAAAGCTTATGAGGTTTGAATAAAAGTTGCATCAAACATTTTGCAAAAACGTAGCATAGTAAATTGTTACCCCAAATACTTTCATAATTATAGAATATAATAAAAAATATAAGCTTGTTCAAATGATTTTCAGACTTGTATGAGTGGTATTTTTGAGGACCGAGGCTCCCAATGTTGTGAATTTACTGCTTCACCTTTGAATATTGGAATATTTTAAAAGTTCTACCCTTTTCCGAAGTTTGACTTCGACTTAACATAACTCTATGAAAATGATAGTTACGAGTTGAATAAATGCTCGTATGTAGCCAGTAGTTGGCTGAACAGTACTATTAACCTTGGTTTTTACCAAACTTTTGTAAATCTGCAAAAAATTCGAAAGTACCCACTTAATTCGCACTTTGTGTGGCACAAAATGCCTTTTTCGTTTTTCAATTTTTTCGCCGTTGCCGATTGGGAAATTTTTAGCATTTTTCGATTATATAATGTTCTAGGCCTAAGTTCATCATATAGAGCGTAAGTACCGTAATTACAATGCGCTTAACTATTTTATGTGACTTTTTGGGACTACAATGACAGTTCATTTTATCAAGACACCCATACATGGCATATAGATTAACAGAAATTTCCTCTTTTGTCCTAAGATTTCACGACATAGAAAAGAAAAGAAAATTTCCACATTTGCTTTGCCGTTTTTTCGGGTACGTATTTACGGCAAATGGGGTTTCTGTAAAGAAAGTAAATGCAAAAAACTAGGAGGAAAGGGCTTAAAAAAGAGGAATTTCCCTGAAATCAGTTTCCTCCTTCAAAATCAGCAGTTTAAACAAGGACATGAAATACTTCTGCAGCAACCCAATAAATTAGAATACGTACTTATTCAACTGGGTTGGCGCCTGGAAGGCGGGGCTTCGTGACCTAATTAAGGCTAGGTAATGATCAGAGGGCGTGCGCGGAGGAGTCGCAGACTGCGTCGTGGGCGCGAGCAGCCATAGATAGGTCACAAAGCCCCGCCTTCCAGCCGCCAAGCAAATTGAATCAAAGGTTACAGGGAGATCCTAAATGTGCTAATCAATGATTATAAATTCCTTAATGGAGAAAAAATCATGAAGAAAATAAAAACCGTTTCCATGAAAGTCATCTATCGAGTAAGAGAGCAGGTTTGAAGTCCGCAAGGTTCTGAAATAAGATTTGGTTTTTGGCATTGCAAATTTACAAATTCACAAACTTCACATGGATAACTATGTATGAACTTATTTGCGAAGTGTAATGTTGTTATGTAAACAACTATAAACATTTTCTGGATCGAGGGAGCCTACAGATCCCAAATGTGCAAAAAATTGGAAGAAACATTGATTTGTGGAAAGAAAACTATATCGACAAATAATATGACTTCGCAAAGAGCGTCGGCCACCGGTGATCCACATCGTCGTCAATAGGTTAAAATGCAAAGAAAGCTTTTCATCCGAAAAAATTGATGAAATTTTCTAGCATAGCCTTCGAAGGGAAACATTTCATTTTTTGATCTAAAGATTTTCTTAACAGCATGTCAAACAGATACATTAAAAAAGTTATCGCGAATACAACATTGATTTTTTTGGAAAACAAAAATCGTGAGGCCTTGTTTGAGCATCCAGCTATTTACAGCATTTTGAGGTGCGAAATGAGCTAATGGCTCGTTGACCCAGAATCGATCAGGTCACCAGAATCGACCAAGTCAGCTGATGCAGAAGATTGTAAATTATATAAATGTGTAAAGTTGAGAAAAATATAAGATAGATTTTTTTAGAGATTTTGTTTCCTGCTAATCGACAGCTTGAATATTTTTTATTAAGAAACTGGTTATGGTAGTTGCAGTGAAAATATTAGGTTGCCCCAAAAAAAATTCCTTTATTAAATAGATCAAGCTGATTTCATTTTTTGATACATAGGATACCATTTGAAAAAGCAAAGCAAGCTCTACAAAGAACGAAGATTCGCCTAATTTTTGATAAAATTGCAAAAAAATCAATTTTTTTGATTATCTCAAAAATCCCTCTTCCAGAAACTTTCTACGGATCTCCAACTTGGTCATCATACAGTGGATATAGTAGTGTCCGAATTGAACAGCCCAAAAATGCAAAAATGTCACTTTTTTCGTTTTTTTTTTGTGTTAATCATGGTATTTCTCAACTTAAGGTTCTACTTGTTAAGGCTTGTAGTATGCAATGACATATGCGGGAGGCTGGGGGCGGAGTTTCCAATTTTGGACTATCTTTTTTACTCGGTTTCTATAAGCGAAAAAAATTCTGTGAAAGCATATTCGAGTACTACTATGTGTCTACGTATAATCATCAAATCATAAGTCCGTACGGTTTTTGGCAAAAGTCCAACTTCCAGGTAAATTTTTTTTTCGATTTTGGCTCAAAACTCTATACCTGAATACGAATCAAGAGGACCTTTGGACGACATTTTGTATACTTGCTTTGCTCTAACGGATACCCTGGGTTTGCCACAAAAACGAAAATAGCTTGATTTATAGGACCCAAATTTCTTTGATTTCATATAAGAATAAATTCGCTGACCATATTGCAATAAGCAAACATTTATTGCACATGTGTATACAATATCACAGCTTGTAAAGAAGTGGACCCGATTTCCAAAGGACCATATATACTCAAATACTAAATAAGTAAAAATACATCAACTGAGCTCGAGATATACCCGGCAGCATCAAAAGAAGAATAAATAGATAGAGATAGGTAAATCTTCACTCCATATATTAGGAACCGAGGTACTCATCAGCAAGTTTATTATTGCTTTGCTGCTCTTGTGCAGGTGTTCCATTGGTCATCTGGTAATTTACAAAACCATTCCGCTGCGGAATTTCCGAATATCCAACATTTTTGGTCTTGGCAGCATCTCGAGAAAATTCGAGGAATACCTAGAAATAAGAGTTTCTAGGGTTTAGGAAAACTGAGAGATGTATAGCTGATAGTACCTGTTCCAGCGTTGTTTGGCTGAGTGAATAATCTTCGAAATCATGTCTTCGAGATAAATTTTCAAGGTCATTAAAAAGCATAGACCAAGACACTCCAGGTCGCTTAGGCAACTCATAGTTCAGATGCAAAAGATGGTGTTCCTGAAAAGAATTTTATTCAGTGAAATGACCGCAAAAATTAGCGATACATACTTTAAGGATGGCACCTGGAAATGTCTTTATAACTTCAGCTTTGGTGCTCTCTGCTTCTTCAGCTCGATGAAGACGAATGAGCAAAGTGAAGCCAGCACCGTATCTACTCTTGATGTGCTGACAGCTACCGTAACACTTGAACCTTCCTAAAATCGATAATAATAATAAAATTAATTGAAATAATTAAAATTATATTCAAAATTTAATTCAATTATAAAATTCATAATTTAACAATAATTCATTGAAAAGACAATAAAAAACTATAATAATGCGAAGAACTCGCACACTAACATACAATACCGCTAACATTTTTTGAAAAATAGACGCGATTGTCCATACATGTCGCTACATGTATGGACGTCACCGTCGCGTGGCCATATGTCGCTTCAGAGTGGACGAATTCTGAACCCAAAGCCACCATTCGATTTAGCTCGGCGCGGAGAATCTTCTGATATATTGGAAATGGTGGTATGATGTCTTCGATATTCCGTCTCCAGTTTTTTTAAATTCTTCTGCGGAGGTCATTTCGCGAATATGTGAAGAGCACCTATCTAACACAGAAAACTTTGCTAAGCACTATTCGATGATACTGTTCTTGTAGATTATTGTGCGCTTTGAAATAGGCTCAGACTTCTTTCCAAAGGAGATAGAAGCGTTGGTGAGTTCTGGAAAAATCACGCGTTTTAAATCCTGCTCGCCATAACTTCGTTCGGTTAGGTATATTTCGAATCCGAAAACAGTGCTGTGCTCAGTTCATCAAGGCGAATCTTCTGATGTACAGCATGTCTTGATATCTCGATTACAGTATTCTTGAATCTTTCTGCGGACTTCGTTCGCGTAGGTGTAAAGCAGCGAGCATCGTTTCGAGTAAATATCAGCAAAAACCTTTTGATAGTACTTTCTTTGTAGATTATGATGCGCTAAATAGTAGCCGCAGATCTCTTTTCGAAAGAAAGGCTGGTGAGTTGCGGAAAAATCTTGTCGTCCCAAATTCTACTCGCCATAGCCCAAAAATTCGAAGCTATCTTGTAGATGTAAGTTTCGAAAACAGCAGATCGGATAACCTCTATAAGCAGGTTTTCGAGTTGTTTTGGATTATTTCATTTTTTGCCGTTTTACACTCTGAAGCTCGCCGATGGATTTTGGTCAAAATACATAGTAATGATTTTGAATTATAAGGAAATTTCGCTAATAGAGGTTTTCTGACACGCTCTTTACGAAAGTCGTGGTCTTTGGGTATTGTGGGGGTCTTTTTGGAGAGATACGGTGAGGTGACTGTAGCTAAATCACGAAAGCGCGTAACTTTGCCCGCACTTCTCGCGGATCTTTCAGAAAACTTGCTTGCTTGCTTCTCTAAGTCAAAGTAAGTAGGAACTGTGCTACCGAATGGTACATGAATCAGGCGTCAGTCTATAGAAAATTGCCGAGTTACGAGCCTATGAAAACACGTCCTTATGAATTTTGCCCAAAATGTAAATATCGCAAATCTCGTCGAAAATCCACCTTGAGCGCTTGTATGACGCTCGCATTGCGGATACTACGTTGGCTTCGCCCAATGGCTCCCACTGTATTGAATATGTTGCTTGCGTGGGTTTCAGCTGCTCAATCAAATACCAAAATTATTTCGTGGCTAAAGCTCAAACTACCAAACCTAACACATCAGGATTCATTAAGGATGCGAATAGATTCAATCGCATGTTGTACAAGCACTCACGGTGGAATTTCGACGAAATATGCAATCTTTACGTGCTTTCGTAGGCTCGTAACTCGGCGATTTTCATCGACTGGAGCCTGAGTCATGCACCATTCGCACACTCCCTCAACTTTGACTTGGACAAGCAAGCAAGCAAGTTTTTTGACAGATACGCGAGAAGTGCGGGCAAAGTTACGCACTTTCGTGATTTAGCTACAGTCACCTCACCGTATCTCTCCAAAAAGGCCCCACAATTCCCAAAGACCACGATTTTCGTGAAGAGCGTGTTCGAAAACCTCTATCATCGAAGTTTTTTCTTAGAATTCAAGAGCATCAACATTTTGATTAAAATCCATCGGCGAGGTTCCAAGAGCATAAAACGAGAAAAAATGAAATAACCCGAATATGTTGAAAAACTTGCTCATAGAGATTATCCGACCTGCTGATTTCGAAACTTGCATCTCCTAGCAAGATAGCTTTGTATTCTAGGACTATGACGAGTAGAATTTGAGACGACAAGATTTTTCCGCAACTCACCAGCCTTTCCTCTGAAAAGAGATCTCCGACTACTATTTAGCGCATCATAATCTACAAAATAAATACTATCAAAAGGTTCTTGCTGGAATTTACTCGGGACAACGCTCGATGCTTTACACCTTCGCGAAGAACGTCCGCAGAAAGACTCAAGAATACTGAAATCGAAATATCAAGGCATGCTGTACATCAGAAGATTTGCCTTGATGAACTGAGCACAGCACTATTTTCGGATTCGAAATATACTTGAACCGAATGAAGTTATGGCGAGCAGAATTACGCGTGATTTTTCCAGAATTCACCAACGGTTCTATCTCCTTTAAAAAGAAGTCTGAGCCTATTTCATAGCGCACAATAATCTACAAGAACATATTATCGAATAGTGCTTAGCAAAGTCTTCTAAGTTGGATGGGCGCTGCTTCAGATATTCGCGAAAGGACCTCCGCAGAAAAATTTGAGAAAACTGGAAACGGAATATCAAAGACATCATACCCCATTTCCAATACATCAGAAGATTCTCCGCGCCGAGCTAAATCGAATGGTGGCTTTGGATTCAGAAGTACTCTGAAGCGAGATATGGCCACGCGACGGTGATGTCCATACATGTAGCGACATGTATGGACATGTATGGAAATGTCTCTACATAATACATGTAGCGACATGTCCATACATGTAGCGACATGTATGGACTCGTCTATTTTTCAAAACATGTGAGCGGTATTGTACTGCGATTGAAGTATTTCTCAACAAATGCTCGAGTCATTTGCAGTTCGATGTGTGAAAGTACACACTATTTGCGAAAACCAGCGACAGCCCTACTAGGAATTCTTCAGTAAACGTTTTTCAGCGCAAAAAACCGTGGAAATTTGTACTGATAACAAATACATAGACTGATCACAACGAAAGAAGAAAAATCACTGCAAGTGGGCCGATTCTAATCCTACTAGCCGTCAAGTAGTGCACATAGTGTGCACTACGTTGAGTTGCAAAACTTGGCGATACATATGATTTCCCAGTGCTAAAACTTTTTTGGAGGGCTGGTTGAATTTTAAAGAAGTTTGAATTATTTCAACTATTTACAAGTGAGAACAAGTTACTTGCGCATTTTTATGACTCACATAGGTTACTTTCGAAAACTTGCTTCTGAGGGGAGAGGTGGAGTCCAAAATTGGAGTAATCCTTTTTCGAATGCATGACGCGGATAAATGGCAGTAACAGTGAATGTACCGTTTTTCATAATTGTTTTGGGAATCTTGAGACTTCTAGGTTATTTATAGTCTTCGCAACACTGATAGACAAATGTTACACACATGAAAAATTTTTAATTTTTTGGTGATGTAATCCAGAACTTCTTCTGCGGTTACAAATGGTAAGTTGATCATATGTCTGCTTACCATTGACCATTATCGCCAACTCGGTGCACAGTGCTTCACATTCGTCCATACTATGCGATGTTAGTACCAAAGATGTGCCTAACGCTTGGGCCTGAGATAATCCACGAAATGACATCACTTCGCAAAATTTCGTTTGGTTTCTACCCTTGCGAGGATATTCCAGATGATTCTACGCGCTTTTGGATCCACTCCTGTTGTGGGTTCATCCAACAAAAGCACTGGTGGTAGTCCTATCAGCGCTATGCCAAGCGAGAGACGACGTTTGTTACCACCACTAAAAAGCTCATTTATCTAAATCAGTAAAAGTTTTTTTTTTGTAAAAAAAATTTTCTTGAAAAAAAAAACATGGCGCACCTGTAGCCCTTGATTTGCCTCTTTGCGTACATTCCGATACCAATAGTGTAGATGACAGCATCGACCTATAAGAAACAGTATTGTTATCGTTTGTGTACAGACCCTTACAAGGGAACGATACTCAATGTCCGTGGCCTTTTGAGACGAGATGTATACCATCACACTCGCCTTTGAACGCTGATTCCGAATCTGACTTCCTTTTCTGCTAATCGTTTCTCTGAAGGAAGTTATGGAGGAATTTCGAGCCAACTTTGTCCGCCCAGAGGTATGGTCACCAGAACGCCTCTACCGGCGCCATGTTATTGTCTAGTGGTTAGTGTGATAGCCTCATAACTTGATACAGGTGTAGGCTCAAATCCTCTTGTGTTTTTTATTTTGCACTACCTCAATTAAAGTTGTTCGAGATTCATTCAGTTATGGTCATTGAATACATTTTAGCGCAAATAGTAAGTTTTTTCCAAATTTCCACATTTTTGAAGACTAAGGGCGTTCAGTTAGCTCGAAGATGCGAAAGAAGGTTAATTGAGTCAATGCAAAACTGAAAAACACAAGAGGATTCGAACCTACACCGGCACCAACTCATGAGCCTACCGCGCTAACCACTAGACCACACCGCACAGTCACTATGGTCGCTTCAAACGTGCTTCATTGGAAAGCCAAAGTCCGCACAATCCTTTACAACATTTTTGAAGCGATTAACAGAAACGGAAGTCAGATTCGGAATCAGCGTTCCAAGACGAGTGTAATGGTATACAATTCATCTCAAAAAGCCACGGACACCGAGTATCGTTTCCTTGTTAGAGGTTGACATTGATGCTTACCTTCTCAGGGATCAGCTTTCTTGGAGTTCCACGAATTCTTGCAAACATGTAGAGCGTTTCTTCACCCGTCATTTCTTCAAGAATAGCATCAAACTGGGGACAATATCCGATGTTAGCGCCAGCCTAAAATGGCAAATTCTTGACTCAAATCAACAACTATCATACAGGGTGTCCCAAAAAAATGTATCGAACGTTTGATCAAAAGACAGACAGACACAGATACACGCACATACACACATACACACATAACACATACGGACAGACACAGACAGACTAGACTGCCAGATAGATGGGCAAAGGTATGGTATAATTAGACAGACAGGCAGAGAGGACATACAGACACACGGACATACGAAAAGGAAGACAGACGGACGGATAGACAGACCAGACCAGACATACAGACAGACAGACCAAACAGACAGATAGATGATAGAAGAGAAGAAGGTAGATAGACAGACAGACAGACATTCAGTTTCAAATACAATGACATAACTCGTGACGCAAAAAATTCATTTTATTGATTATTTCATGATGCGCTCACCTCCCTCCAATGAGTTTTCACACTCCAACCATTGACAAAAGCATCTCCATCACTAATGCCATTTTCTCCTGTCAACATTTGAAAAGTAGATGTTTTTCCAGCTCCGTTTACTCCCAAGAGGCCAAAGCATCCGCCTTGTTTTACGTGGAATGTCACACCTTTTACAGCGTTGAAGTCACCATACCTACAGAAGAATTTATTAATTTTTTACGCTTGTGATAGCCAGTTCACACTACCATTTCTTGAGGTCATCAACTATGACAGCAGCCCCATCCTTTTGCATTTCTTTGACTCTAACTTTCTCAGCCAAAACATCACTGTCTTCACCCGTATACAATTCAGGCTCTGTGCTCCAGTTTTCATACTAGAAACAAAAAATTTTCTCGCATTGATACTTCAAATTCATCCTTGTTACCTGCGAATCTCCTATTCGATTTTTCTTGTTCCATTTACAGAACGCTATAAGACGAGTGATAAAGTTGTACTCGTGAGAGATAACAAGGAACCAGTAAATAAAACCCTGAGAATGAAAAATTAGTACCCTGATTTCACGCGTACAAGGCGCGGGGTGGTCCTAGCTTTCATCAACCAGCGCGAACACGGCAAAGGACTTCGCAACCAAAGGAACCCCATACCGTGCTGCGTTTTGCCTGACGAATCGTGCGGCATAAGGATCGCTTCTTAAAACACGTTGGGGCGGCTGAGCAGCTCGATGAAAGCTAGGACCACCCCGCGCCTTGTACGCGTGAAATGCGGGTAATTAGAAATAGACATGTAAAAACAAAATTTCACCTCTATAGCAAAGAAGATTATCGGGTAAAAGATGCCTAATTTTCCCGTGTCCGTGAGAATATGATCGGTGTAGATCCTGTCTGAAAATCTTTGATTCGGAAAGATTGATAGGCAATTAGTAATCAGTATGCTCACCTACCTTCCTCACCACCCCCCCCCCCCAGCCCCTCAAACTTTGCAAAAAAAACAACAACAATAAAATCGATAAAAGTAAGGATAATTCTAAAAACTGATGGCGTTATTCGGCTATCCGGGAACTAAAATTTTTTTTGTGTGAGTCTTATAGGGGGTTATTCAAGCCGCTGATGACAAATATCGTAGTCATTTCGCGTGGCAGCGGGTAAAAATTATGAAATTGCCTAGAACCTTAGTAGGGAATTACCTAAAGCTATTTCACGAATATTGTGCTTAGTCCCCACGATAAAGGCAATTCGTATGGTATAAAAGTTCTCCACGACCGTAATGCTTCCTTTATAGGACCACCGCCGCGCGCGATACACCCTTCGGCGGCTTTTGCCTAAGCAAAAACAGGGGGAGGGAGATTTGCCGCGTGCGTTACGCGTTGGGACAGGTTATCAGGATGGCGCTGGAGACCGCGCCATGCAAAACGACCGTTTCCCCATTTCGTGAATATCTGGGATCCAAATTGGTCCGAAAGCGAAAAAATGTCTATTTAAACCCTGCAACTCACCATAACTTCACTATTGCGTTTTGACAGCGAGCAAGCATCATATTCTTTTCATTGATTTTCTGTTCGTTTTTTTCTTGTTCTGTCTGCATGTCTTGCTGTCCTTTTGGAAATACCTTTTGATGGGGTTATAGCCAGGCTAGCCTCCGCCCGTAGGCTCGCTGGCCTTCAAAAAATGGGGACACAATTTCTGAGAGGCAGCAAGATTCCTTAGTCGACCGTGGATGTACTTTCTTTGCCTCAAAAGATATGATTTGTTGTCGACTTTATCGAATAAACAAACAAATATTCATAAGCAGTACGCTTGTGACGTTACAGATAAGGTTTTGAGCAAATCTGGAACTCCGATCCATCTACTGTACACTCACCGTAAACCAAGAAAATGTGCTATCCTGCGAGGCATGATACTCATGTTCAGCGCGCTGACTACTCCAGACGAAGTTTAAAGCAAATCTATTTTCGATCCCATACCGTATAATCACACAACTCTATTAAAAGGCCCCAATATGCAGAGAGGGTATGAAATTCGTAATCAGCATGTCGAATAAGTTCTCTAGACCGAACTCCAGCCGATTTATGTTTGACTTCCTACCACACCCATCGTAGATACACGGGGAAACGTTTCGCGGAGAAAGTGCGGTTTCTGTAATCAGCATGTAAGATAACCCGTATATACGAAGATTGAGCAAGCTCTATGACAAAAAAAATTTGGGGCCCGGATAGCCGAATAGCGCCAAACTAATATCGTACTCGTAGTCAGCGTGCTCGATTACCCCCCCCCCCCCACTCCCCCTGTGCACACTCCCAGCCCCGCAGGTCAAACTTTGCAAAAAAAATCGATAAAATCGATAAAAGTAATGGACGATTCTGAAAATTAATATTGTATTCGGAATCCCCATGCTCACTTACCCCCTGTGCCAACTTCCAGCTCCTTAGATGCTCTGCAGAAAAATCGATAAAATCGATGAAAGTAATCGATAATTCGATTGATGACGTAAAGTAGCCTGTGACACCCGCCGGGGCCCGAAGTGTATGTGTGCCAAGTTTGGTCCGGATCGGTTCAGAAGTAAAAATTTCTATTCGGAACATACGTACGTACAGACAAACAGACATACAGAAATACATACATACAAACAGACATTCAGCTTTATATCCAAGATATTAAAATAATGCATTACAATAAACTCTCACCTTCAGGCTGGCCACAACATATTTCGCTGGCATTGTAGAGTGGAATAGAGCAATCAAGCATTGCACAAGCTTGTCTACCAAACTCATTATTGTAGACCTCAAAACGGATGTTAGAACTAACATGACGCCATTTTGGTGATAGAAATCGAAATATGAACTAACAACAGTGAAAACGTTGGAGATACTGTATGTGGGGAAAGCGAATGACAATATGACGCTCCATGTATAGGCAGCATCATTGCTTACTACTCGCTGGATGATTGGAATGGCAATTGATCCAGTCATACCTGCAACGATTTTCTTCATCATCAACTCCAACAAGTAAATAATTGAGATCTAACTAGATCTGCTACATATAAATATAGTCTAGCAAAAGTGCCTCCATCTTTTAGGTTTTTCACAATAATATGGGAATGATTGCAGAGCAATCAGTTGCATTTGCGTTAAAACGAGTCAATGATTTTTCTTGACTACTGTAAGATTACGGTGAGGACTTCCAGCTAGCGCCATTATGATTTGGCTGCCGTTTCATAGTGACTGATAAAAAAATCAAAAATTTTGCAGCAGATTTTTCAGTCAAGCTGATTCCATTCTGATCTGCTTGGTAAAAATCTTCAGAGATTTTTTGAATGTGTAACTGGATTTTTCTAGAAAAGCGATTAAACTGCTTTCACAATACCATGGAGTAGATTTTCAACAAATACTATTGATAAAGTGCAGAATCTAATGTGAAATTTTCAGAATGATTGTTTGGAACTCTTTCCTGTGATGAAAGATACATGACTCTCAAGAAAGTACTCTAACTCTTAACCGCAATCCTACAGTGGGTGAGGATTGGTGGGTGATTTGCCCCATATTTTAGATTTTAATTGAAACAGTCCTTCAATGAGACACTTGGGAAATCGAGACAACCAGACAAAGTGGTTATAGATAGTCGAACAATGAGGAAGCCCGTACTTTAGTCTAAAATTTATTTCCCCTGATTTCCGCAACTTCTGCAATGTAACTGGTGACACCTCAAGGGACTTAGTTCCACCTTGAATTTTTTGCAAACTTTCAAACTTAACAAATACTCGTCTTCTAAAACAATAGCAGCGCAAAGTAATTTCAGGGAACGGTGTCAGTGAAGTTTCTTACATTTGAAAGACGCCTTTTGAAAGTATGTAGACCACTGTTCTTGAACGCAGAAACTCTTTTCAGATGTTTTGTTGAAAGATGGAGCTTTCAGACCAAGATAAGGAATAAGAGAGAAAATCTGATGGTTTTTTTTTTGCATCATACCAACGATCCACGCTAAAAAGTTGTGATTTTCAGGAAGGGGGGGGGTGAAGGCGCGGTGAAGTCTAGTTTTCTATCCAACATTTGTGATATATGTGTACTCTTACAACTAACCAGTTATGATGTTGTACATGACAATCATCGTAAAACCCTTAGGTGCCGAAGTGAAAGCGAAGGAAAACCAGTAGGTAAAAGGAATAGCTGTCCATCCATACAATGACATTGCCAACAGCAATACGAGTATCGTATCAAAGCTCTTCGTATAGGCCTAATTTGGGGAGTTACGGAATTTTTTTCAAACCATATGTACCAAAATTCAACCTCGATGTCGAAAGCATAGAAAGTGCCGATAAAAGCTGCCATACTAACAATGTACCAAATAACATCCCATAAAAAGGCTGTTATCCAGTACATCCATGGTCTCAGCCCTGACAGCATCTGAAAAGTTGCTAATTTGCATGGGGGATGACCTTTTTTGGATTGTCACACCTGCATGTGCTTGCTCTTCTTCTTTTGTTCTCTTATAAGGAACTGGCAGCACGTGGCGACCACTATGGCCATACACACGATGATAGCATAGAAAATGATGTAAGCAGATCTATTCGAGTAACTGCGATTTTTCAAAACATCCTGAGTAACCGGAGGGAAGGGATGGTTATTGACCTTAAGCAGTTGCGCTCATGAAAACTATGAATTTTGGCCTTAATAAGAGAATTGACTCAAATATAACTTGTGGAGTACAATTGCTCAATGAGAATTTTCCTCCTTTTGTCAAAGGTCTGTCACTTCAATACTTGCCAAACTTTGAATTTTACTAGTGAACTACGCGACCTTTGTGTTGCATGCCGAGTAGCATAAGATTCGCGTTCTGTATCTCAATTAGTGCGCCTGGGCAGTGAATGTGCTCCTAATTTTTTAATTAACAAACAGTGCAGACAAATCCATTATCCAAAGGTTTGATGGTCAAAGTGCTCAAAAGTATCCTTTCTAAGAACCCTCACGATGTAGGTGCCTGTCAGACCCCTAATCTTTCTTGCTCTCTATCTTACTGAGGTCCCATCTCGAAAGATTCTCTCTCGTGAGGTGCCGGCCAAAGTACCCAAAGTTTCCTCCTTTTCTAAGTGAAAGCTCTGTTTCGCTTCTTCTATCTGTAAAGCTGCTGTAGCCAATGCACGTAAAAGAATCAGAATCATCTGAACTTTTTATCGCATCAAGCCCCTCCTTCCCCCCCCCCCCCCCAAGAGTTCCTCCTAAGGCCTCGGGCGCACCTGATCCGATCGCGATTTCAGTTGCGATGGATTTGGCAGTACTCCAACTGTTTATAGCTCATCGTAAGCGCATTCCTAAAGTACAGAATGGGGCATTCTACCAACTTACAAAAGTTTGACAAGCAATGCATTGGTAGCCTGCAGGTGTCCTAATGAAGGCATCTGGCAAATAGCCAGATTGCATGGCGATTGGAATCGCGTAAATTATGCCCGGGGCCGAAGTAGATGCTTTGTCAAGTCCCATTTTTCTCCTTTTTATTCCAACATGGACCATGTCAAAGCCAGATTCTCTCGTGGGTTTTCCTGCCGGAATACCCATGGTTCTTCCTTTTCTTGAATGGGAAACCTGAGTTTCATGGTGCCCAATAATTGTCTCCCCACCCAAAGCTGCGTAGCCAGTGCATGTGGAAGCACCACTATCCGGTCTAATCCTTTTAACCAAGGTGCCCAAATTTCCTCCTTCACCCCCCCCCCTCCTTACTCCTCCCAAAATCGTTTCTCCAGTAAATACCTTGTGGTCCTCGATCTTCTTCGCTCCCAAGGGTTTTCGAATGGCCGAGGTTCTCCCCTCCAAATCTGCTAAGTAGATCGTTTTATTTACATAGTGCCCACTCTTTCCCTCTTCCTTCTTCTTTCCCCTTTAGGATTTCATGTTGAAGCCCCAAAATTTTCCCTCCCAAACTGTTTTCTAGCCAGAGTGTCCTCTCCGAATCCGAAGTAGGGATGGTTTGCACGGTGCCTGCCCACTCTTCTTCTCTCCTCAGCCCTAGAATCTTCCCTCCCAAACGTCTGGCTAGGGTACCCACGTTTCTTCCCTCCGAAACTTTCCGAATATGAGTTTTTGGTTTGCACGCTGCAAACTCTTTCTCTCTCCCTTTCTCACATTCCCATGTAAAAAGCCCCAAAACTCACCCGCAAACGGTTTTCCGGCCAGGGTGCCCAAGTTTCCCCTTCAAATCTTGAAGTATGAGATTTTGGTTTGCACAGTGCCCAACTCTTTCTCTCTTCCCCTTTACGACCCCTATTGAAGCTCAAAATCCTCTATCCCCAACGGTTTTCTGGCCAGGGTGCTCAAAGTTCCTCCTTCAAAACTTTAAGTTTGAGCTTTTAGTTTGCACAATCCACTCTTTCTCGCTTCCCCTTCGGAATCCATATTAAGGCCCTAAGATTTTCACCCGCAAACGGTTTTCTGGACAGGATGCGCATAATTCTTTTTCTAAAACTTGAAGTCTAAGTTTTTGATTTGCACGGCGCACACAGTCTCTTTCTCCCTTTGTCTTTCTTTCATTCAGGATCCATACGGAAGCGCTAAAACTCTCTCTCATAAAGGGTTTTCTGGCTAGGGTGCCCACGGTTCCCTGCTTCAAAATTTTCCGAAGCATGAGCTTTTGATTTGAGGGGTGCCCACTCTTTCTCTCTCCCTCTTTCACGCTCGTTATCCCATGTGAACCGAAACATATTTTCTCGCAAAGGGTTTCCGATCAGGTGACCACTATTTCTCCTTATTTCTTTCCCCTTCAGGATTCCATGTTGAAACCCCAAAATTTTTCTCGCAAACGGTTTTCTAGCCAGGCTGTCAAGGTTTCCTTCTCATGAACATGCGACCTTTTAGTTTACGTGTTGCCTCCTTCTCTCTTCCCCCTTTCCCTCATTCGTGATCCCATTTTCAACACTTAAAATTCTTTTTCTAGATGTTTTTCTGACAAATCCAAACCCTTCTTCGAAACTTCCCTTCTCCGGAAATCTTAAGTAAAAGCTCATTTAACGATGCTAATTCCTTCTCCTGGATAGAAGATCATACCTTGCCGAAATAGGAGGTTTTACCCGGAAATTTCCAATAATTACGCACACCTTCGCATTTACATGGGGACTGTTCGTCGCAGATGTCCAAACGGAACCTCTCCTTTTCGACACCTCCCCTTTTTGACGCATAGTCCTCTAACCCCTTCTGTTGCCCAGAGCTGGTAGCGGAAGTCTCCACTTCCCCTAAATTCCCTACTCTCCATCCCATTTTTGCATTTCGAAGCTTTAAAGTCGTCTACCTTGAAGTTTTCTTTTGAGGGTGCTAACTTCCACTTTGTTGTCTCACCCAAGCTCTAACGGCGCCCACTCCTTAGAGGCATCGTCCACCCTAAGTTAAGGGTGTTGAGCGTTTGGGAACATATAATATTAGGGCCCCCCTAAAGTCCAATGCCCAAGTCGCGGCGTAAAATGCCGCTTCGGAAACAACAAAATCGCTTCGTAATAGCGAAGATGCACGAGGACCCCCATCCATGCCTGCGCCATGCCCCACTTCTGCGCGCCCATCCAATCACTGTTAAGGAAAGCCGGCCTGTGGGTTCTCCGAAACGGAAAATGTCGGGGTTTTCGCGCATTCCTGACTTCATATTCGGGATCAGGGGCATGAGAAGGTCCTGAAACGACAAAAGCTCGGAAGTCGAAAATCTGGGTGGACGATGCCTTCAAAGGCAGTGTCCGGACAAAAGGTAGTTTATAAGATTTTGCTTACCTGGGCCTATTCGCTATGCTGTATCCGAAATCAACACTGGAGAGCCCGAAAACGACAAAGAAGAGTTTAAAAGGGGGAGGGAAATCGCAGGTGGGGGGGGGCTATTGTGACGTCACTCTCCAGCTTCGGAAGCGATCTTCTCTCTTCCGTTAGTCGTTCAAACATCGCCGCCGGCCAACTGCGAATGTGTAACCCAAAAGCGGAACCGACGATCGCTCCAGAAGCTGCGAGAGTGACGTCACAGTGTAAACAGCCCCACCCACCTCTGATTTTTCTCCTGCGTTATAGCCATTTTTCTCAGTTTTCGCACTCTCCAGTGTGGAATTTCGGATTCAGCATATCGAATAGGCCCAGGTATGCACAAAATCTGAAAAACGATATTTTGTTTTGGGATATCAGTCCCATGCGAGAGTGTGTCCGGGCAAGATGGGGATTTTGAGATTTCAGTCCCATGCGAGGGTGCCTCCCCACCTAGGACCAACATCGCGAAAGATGTCATAACGCTCAACCTGAAGCAAGAAAAACGACCGGAAAGTGAAGAACTTACGCCTTGGGGCGGAGTCCTCCGAGTCCGAATTCTTGCCATGCGCATGCCGCCACAGTCAAAATGTACCGCAGTGAATCTGCGTCTCTGCCTTGGTGGAGACCGTCGAATTTCAAATTTTGCGGTTTTGGTAAACGTACGTTCTCGCCGTTTTCGCGCCTTCTAATGTGCATTTTCGGAGTTAGGGTTGCGGATAACCCCCGATAAGTGCATTTTCTAGAAATGGAGATTTGCCCGGACACTGCCTTTAAGCATCGTTCAAAGGGCACCGGTACGCGCTTGTACCTCTGAACCGGCCCGCCGGAATCTGTCAAATAAGGGAAGAAGATGCGCCTAGAAACTGCCATTTCAAGGTTTACGTATGATTGTGCGCGGTTGTGAAGTGCACGTATGGGTCACAAGTAAATCAGATATCACCTTCACTTCTCTCATTTGGCAGGTTTCGGCTGGTTCTCGTGGGATCAGGCGGCTTTGGGCGGATATGGCGAGTATCGACGCGGTCTGAACGATGCCTTAGCCAGAGGCAAAATCAAACTTCCAAAGTGTATACTCTTGTGTCTTCCTCTGAGCCGACCAGAGTGCTTGCTACCGCCTCAGCATTCTTTTCAGGCCAAGCTCGAGGACTTCTCTTCCCAAGTTGAGGTGCCCACGCTATGGGAGTTCCGTAGCAGGTTCCTGAATTATAGTTGACTGCACGGAATCTCCTCGGCTGAACGCACGCGAGCGTTTCTCTTGCAAGCTAGCATTGGCATTCGCGCGAATTAGTCGTCATAGCGCCCGTGCTCGGCAGTCACGTTGCAGGCAGCTCGCGTGCGTTCAGCCTGGACAATTCCGTGCAGTCGACTTTACCCTTTGATGGAGAGATCATCAAGAGAGGGAACTGCTTTTTTCTGAGGGTAAATCGAATTTGCGAACTCTAATACGTGAAGAGTGGAGTTAACCGCATGGTGGTTTCTAGTAGCGAAAGAGTTCACAAAACAACGCTCTGAATTGGAGACATAACAACGTTATATGTGAAATACTTAGCATGTAGCTGGGAGACTATTATACAGCAAGTTCTTAAATCATATTGCACTTCTTTTCGAAAACTACATGGAAAGGGTTGAAGAGAAATTCAGAATCAAAATTCATACAAAACGAACATTTTGTGGATTTCAAAACTCTTCGAAAGAGCAAGTGATGTTCTTTAAAGAAACACCGAAGTGTAACTACGTAACGAATGTAACTAGATATGCAAAAATGCGAAATTAGAAAGAATGACATGTGTGAGAAGAATCAAAAGGGGAAGAAGAAAGACGAAAACTCACTAAAGAAGAAGAAAACGTGCAAAATAGAAGATTTTGATTTATGCCTCACGACACATTCACTTTCACATTACATCTTCCTAGAGGTGTTATTGCACACGCGCGCTGGAACCGCCCGCGGTTTCCCGCTATTTGCACATTCTTGAATTGCACCTACGATCCTTTACATGTTAGATCTCTCACATAGTTTATTTTTTGTTTGAAGGAATTTTTAATACAGTTGTAGTAATATTCTCGATAGATTTATGATAAGAACATCCGCAGAATAATTTCTTGGTCTTATTCTTAAAATATGTCGCGCATTTTCCAACCTTCATAAATTGCAAAAAACTACAAAAAAGTCATTGTCTTGAACAAGAAACATGACCAAATGAGTTATGTGTGATTTTTGAAAGTATTTCAAAAGTATTTCCAAGTTAACCTAGGCATTATTTGTGGTCCTTGTGGTTCTCTCAAGTCAGTTTATCGGAATAAACAAATGGAGAATCGTTCTTGAGCACTATCAATAATAGAAATGTTTGCAAATTTTCAAAACTTATCGTCAGCGTGATATTCTTGCTCAACGCTTGTGAAATTACCAACGAATCAGCCACACTGATTGCAAGCGGTGGAGTGATGAGTCCGAAATTATTGAACCAAGCTAGAAATAAAAATTCAAACGGCTAATATGTATGTATATGTATAAATATGTATTGAGGACACGTAGCATTGAGAACAAACGTTTAAATATGAGTGAAAAAGCTACTAACAATAAGTAAATCTTTACAGAAGAGAAAGAGTTGCCCATATCTTCACCCTAGACAAATTTTTGCAGTAGCACTCCGTTTGAGGACGTTTGTGGCGCATAGGGATTGAATTTTCATTATCATATTTGAGATAAGAGTTAGCCAGGATTTATTAATTTCTTCCTAAGGTCTATATGCACGTGATTTTATGCTAATAAGAAACCACTGTTGCATCCGGAATCCGGATGATGGGCTTACAAGGAAACTAAACTCAATGTACGTGGCCCTCTGAAATAACATGTAGACCTTTACATTTGCCTTCGAACGCTGATTCTGAATCTAACTTCCGTTTCTGCTAATCGTTTCTCTTAGAAAAATTATGAAAGATTTTGACGCCGAATTTGGCCGCCCGAGATATGAATAGGAACACCAATACGGCCGGTAGCTGGTATAGTGGCTAATGCGATAGCCTCACAAGTTGATGCAGGTGTAGGTTCAAACCCTTTGGTATTTCTCTGTTTTGCATTGCCTTAAGCTTCTTTTTGAGAGTTAGGTTTCCTCGAGGTTAATGCATGCCCTTAAAGGCAGCGTCCCGGCAAAAAGATGGGTGCCGGATTTTTTGTGGCGATGTAAAGTAGACCCCCTACCTAAGCGATGACTGAAGTTTGAAGCGAAAGAGGGGGTCTACCAAGCCTGAAATTTGCTCCAAAATTGGCCCGAATCTTACGGTAGGCCCGAACGCCGCCAACACCGCAATATCGATTTGCAAGGCCAGAGTGCTTATAGCGTACATAGTTATGAGCGCAGGGTCCCGCAACGACTCTGCGTCTTTATCTTGCATGCATTTCGTACTTGCCCGAGCTACCGAGAGATTCGGGCCATTTGGGGAGCGATTTGTAGACTTCGTAGACCCCCTTTCGCGCTGAGGGGGCCTACTATTACGTTATTACCAGAGCAGGCACACTCAGTCTGGTGGGACGCTGTCTTTAATCTTTGGAAAAACGAGGTTTTTTTATGAGTGTTTCCTACACTCCACTGCCTATAAAAATGAAAATGAACAAAAAATGAATGCATGTTAACATGTTACCATGTTTATGTTCCTATCGTATTTGCCCCGCGCGACTAAACTTGGGGGCGAAAATCTTTCATAACTTCTTTTAACGAAACGATTAGCAGAAACGGAAGTCAGATTCGGAATCAGCGTTAGAAGGCGAGTGTAACGGTATACTTCACCTCAAAAAGCCACGGACACTAAGTATCGTTACTTGTTCAACAGAGAGAAAGGGAAACCGCTGCTTATATAGTTGACTTCAAAAGACACTGAACCAAAGCGGGATAATGTACAGAAAAAAATTATTTACGAAACAAAAATTATCTATTTTATGAGAAAAAAGTTTTGAGATTGTAGAGTGCTTTAGATTGTGTAGATTGTTTCGTATATCTTGGACAGCTTCTAATGCCCACGCAGTCATGGTAAAGAGATTTCCAGACGCATAAGTGCAGCGTGGAATGCATTTGGAAAAGTACGACAATTTCTCGGCAGTCGAAATGTTGCTGTTTATCTCAAACGCCGTTGCCTCAATAACGTGATACTTCCAACGGTTTTATACGGTTGTGAAACTTGAGCGGTGACTGAGAACTCGCTGCTGAAACTTCTTCGATGCCAAAGAGCGATGGAACGATCTTAAAAGACCAAAAATCTTCAAAATGGATACGTTCTATCACGAAACTGAAAGATGTAGTCGCAATAGGTCGTCGAAGAAAATGGCGATTTGCTGGAAGAATACTTGGAAAAGAAGGCGATGAAACAGTAAATTGGGTCCGAATCGAATAGAAATTCGATCATTCGAATAAAACATCGAATATATTCGTATTCGAAATTCGATAATCGGAGTTCCTCCATTTTCGAATAATCTTCGAAACTCGAATAACTGAGAAACGGGGTTTCGAATAAATTCGAAACTCAAATAATCTAAAACCAAGGTTTCGAATAAAATTCGAAAACTCGATTAATCAAACAACGAATATTCGAATGTTATTCGAAAACTCGAATAATCGAAAAACGGAGTTTCGAATAGATTTTATTCGAATGTTTTATTCGAATGTTTATTTGCATTCGTATTCGAATGTACTCCCTATTTAGATTATTCGACTTTGTTGCAGAGCCAACTGCTGAGTATCAAGCTCACTTCGTCCGCGTTTTTTTCGCAAAACTCGGTAATGCATCTTTTGCAACCGGTATACCTTGAATTGTATAAAAAGTCGCATTCTTCCGACTGCTTGCCACAGTAAAAAAATCATATGTGGATTTTAATTGATGTTTCGATCAATGAGATTGTTCTCACTGCTATTTGCATCAAATCAGCAAAGAAGCTATCAAATTCAAGCTCATGTTTCGAGTTCATATATTTGAAGTGTTTTGAAGTGCCTGTTTTTCTTTTTTTGCATTGCTCATGCTTGTGGTATGCAAAGCCCACACTAATGAGCACTCTTGCTCGCATATATCGCGCAACTGCCTCTATTCGCTACCTCAGAGATTTTTTGCGAATTGGTGTATTTTGAGTAAAGGACATTGCAGATTTAGTGGAGGATAAGACGGCTTAGATCGCCGTACGCGTATTACCAGTTACGAGATATCTTCAAATACGCCAGTTACCACAAATGTTCAGCGTGTACAACTTACTAGAAAGGTAAATGCCCTGCATTCTGTGCTTTTAGAATAGGTTTTGGATAATTTGACTATTGCCAAACCACGTCGCCGAAATGCCCACAGTATGCCCGAGCTATAGGGGCGTTCGTACTCGCTTCGCGGAAGATACCACATGCCTTCGTCCACAAATAGCTTACACCACACAAGACGAAAGTCTCCGATGAACAGGCAAGCAATGTATCGTAGCATTTTTAGAACTTAAGTACACATGTGGTCACCGTTACTGCTTTAGAAGATTGCGCACCTAGCGCTGTGAATCCGAACAGCTCCTTAGGTGCTTACACCAGGCTGCAATATTTCTCATTTTGAAATTTCAGCTCCAGCCAATTTTATATCTGAAATCTAGTGGAAGCCTGACAAATAAGGTCTGCTGTCGAACAAAGCCGCAAGATCAAGGTGTACAAATGCGGTTCTTACCCGATTTCTGGAGAAGTTTGAGCTACGGGGTTGGGAGTTGGTACAAGAAGCAAGTGAGGGTGCTGATTATGGATAAAAATTTGCTTGATCAATTTTGTCGATTTTGGGAAAATCTTGAGTTACGAGATTGGGAGTTGGTACAGGGGGGAGAATAAATGAGGATGCTGATTAAAACCGAAATCTATTTTATCGATTTCATCGATTTTTGGAAAATTTTGAGCTAGGAGTTGGTATAGGGGATACGAGGGTGCTGACTGTGAATGGATCGGCTTTAGCCAGATATGTCGGCAAGTTTGAGATATGGTTGCTCTAGTTATTCGATAAATCATTCGGATATTTATTCGAAATTAACTTCCAGTGTTCGAATATATTCGATATTAATTCATTCGATAACTTTGATTTCCCGAATTTATGCGGAATTCATTTATTTGAGAATTTTTGAACCTCGAATTTATTCGATATTCATTCATTCGATGAAAAATTTTCGAATTACCCAAGTATAATGGACATACACGCTTACACGTTGGATTCCACCCACTGGCCACGTTTCGGTGATGGAAAAATTGGAACGCGATGGGAAGACGATTTCCGTAAGCATTGCAAGATGTATAAGCCTAACTGTAATTGGCAGAAACTAAGAATGGAACTTGCATGGAGAAAACTTGGTACTATATATGCGGTCCCACTACTGACATAAATGAAGACTTACATAATATCATCACGGTCTCTTGCATGAACGAATGTAAAACGTTGAGAATGAATAAAAGATAAGGATAAAGATAAGAGAGATAGAGATAAGGAGTGCTGTAAGAGGTGCTGAATTATCGTAAATTAATTCTCACCTCTGAGACTTATTACAGTCAGATTGAGAGGAAGATAGAGACGCTCGAAAGCTAACGGGTAGTGAATACCAAAGTTTTTGGAGCCAATCTGTAAATTAAAGTATAAGAACATAACGAAGAAGTAGGATATATTGATCTCAAAACGCCCATTAAGACGCGAAATTTCACAAATTTTGTTGGAGCTTTTATCACAGAGATTGCCCAATCTTTATTGCTTTCAAAATCATGGTTACAATTTTCAAACTCTTTCAATCGATTTTTCCGACTCCCTAATTGCTTGATTATTCAACATTTGTTGATATTTGTGTAGCTCATGGCTTAAAGAAATTGACACTTAAGCAGAGAATCTAAAAACTGAAAATGATAATGACCAAAACCGCTTTGTTTAGAATTAACAGTCAAATTTGGCTGGTAGAAAACAGGATGAATGATTTGCATTGTGTGTTTTGGACATTTGCTGATTTCATGTAATTTGCCTTTCCTCAAGAAAGAGGCGGTTCAATGTTTTAATGAAAACCAATCTTGTATTCAGTGTAGGAAGATTCACTCTTTGATTTAACTGGTTTGACGGCTGGAAGGCGGAGCTTCGTGACCCAATCAAAGCTAGATATTGATTAGAAAGCACGCGTGCGAGAGAGACGCAGACTGCGTCGCGCGCGAGCGGCCTCAATTAGGTCACAAAGCCCCGCCTTCCAGCTGCCAGCCAGTTGAATCAAAGGTTACCTGTGGAATCAGACTGAGAGTATAATTCGCAATATCTTCCGTAGTGTTCACGAAAATATTTGAAGGAGCTCCAAACCTTGCAATTGTCTGTCGAAGAAGCCTAGAAGGTTTTATATTAGACTGTAATTCAAAGAATTTTTAGGTTTTTGCACATGAGCATATAGCAGAATAGGAGGAATCATTCAGGATCAGCCGGTTCACAGCTTCCATATTTCTCAAAAATCACGACTTATAATAACGGGCTAAGGGTTGCTTTATGTCTTGTGTGTGTTTGTGTGTGTGTTTGTGTGTGTGTGGTGTGTGTGGTGTGTGGTGTGTGTGTGGTGTGTGTTGTGTGTGTGGTGTGTGTGTGTGGTGTGTGGTGTGTGTGTTGTCTGCATGTGTGTGTCTGTCCGTTAGAAACTTCGTAGAGCGAGATCTAGCCAACCTCTTGAGCCCAAATTTTGCAAGGCACACGCTAGCAGCATGAAAGCCCGCTATGCAAAAGCACGAGCGGATCCGTTGAGGGGTCCCTCAAAAATTGCGCTTCAAACGGATTCACTTGGCTTCTGGCCTTAAAATTGGCCTGTACACTACTTTTTGGAAAGTTATGGATATAATTAAGGAACTGATGTGCAAGCCATGGATTTTAGCCCAAAAAATTGAACTTAATTTATTACTTTACAAAAATGGCGCTGAAAAAAAATTAGTTGAGTAAATGTTTAATTTTCCAAGATTTTACCTCATCATTTGAGAAGATGAGATGCACAGAGATGTAGCCCACGGTAATCATCGTCGTTACGGCGACTACCAAACCATAAAAAGTCCAAAAACCAGTTCAAATCTGCACTTATTCTTTTCGGAGAAGTTTCAACCATGCGAAAATACTGATCTCACACAAAAAAGCTCTCGGAATGAATAACTGTTCACAAATCCGTGATAGCCAGCAGAGCGTCAATGTCATTATTATGCGGAAATAAGTAAGGCATAAAGAAAGTAGGGCCAGTGCGAGCCTCTGCGAAGCAGAGGTGACGCACTGGTATCATAAAACAACCTATTATCAACCAAAAAAGGGCGGCTGTCCTACGTTTAACTCTTAAAAGCCTAAGACTTTTGTCTTAGGCAGCAGAAAAAGCGGTCAACTTTGCCATTTGGAATTGCGGAACAAATCTGTCCGTAAAGAAGGGGGGGGGGGGTGGGGGGGGGGACAGCATAACTTTTGGAAAAATTTCAAAAATCATTTCATTCATGTACAAGTAAAATCAAGTTATTTGCACAATTTTATGACTCTTTTGAGGTACTTCTGGAATCTACAATGACCCCCTCCCTCGCCTTCCGTCCTCTGAGCTGCCTTGTAAGGAAGATACGGAAAACGGAGAATTTGCGAATAATTATAGCCAAACAAACTTTTTCAGGTCCAGATCATCAACAAAATATTCATCCGTAGCATTTGATACGTATATAAACGTATCTCCACTTTTGCCGCCAAATGGTGTCATGTCAATTTTTAGACTTGGTTGTTCTGCTGGTCCAGGAACTTGGGTTATGGTCCATACCATGAGTGCCATGTACAATATCTGAAATCGATTAGATCGATACAAAAATAAATGACGTCACTGATTAGATTTCTTGCCGGGAAGCTGAGGTTCATTATGAACATTATCCATTTCCGATAAAGGTATATGATCCGCTTGATGAACATCGCTTCGAAATGCTGCCAATAGTACGATAGACCCTCTAGATGTTCGTCGACCTTTAATTCTATAACTGAAAAGCTGTTATCTCAATATGTTCAAGAAATAATCAAAAATCCTCTCTAAACACAAATTCTTTAATTACGGTAGGTTAAGGGGAAATGTAGACAATGAATTTTGTTTAAAACACATGCCTTTGAGCATTGGATCGTTCTCATCTGCTTCCTTGACTTCTGTTGTTTCGTCTGCATTTTCTTGATTGAAACGTTCTTGCGCAATGTTGCCGACCCTGCCAAAAACATCATCTAAGAAAAATATGAAATATTGATATGATCAATCCAATAAAGCTCAGGATGGCTTGATCACAAAAACAAATAACAATCATTGCATTGCTTGTTGAGGAAAATCATAGCTGGTTACAAGGAATTTCTAGTTTTTACATTCAAAGCTTATATCAAAAATTATTCAAACAAAATTTGGAAGATGAGATAAGAAGAGATCCATGGGATCCAAACGTTCTACGGGATCTGGCAAAGAGCTCAACAAATTCCAGCACAGATCGTACTTTTTGCGAGCGGACTTATCAGAGTCCTTAATTACGGTAGGGTCCGGGAGCGGGATTAAGGTATTTATTTAGCCATACCTTATGAGATGATATAAGCTGCATCTCATATAATCATATGAGATGCAGGTTGGTTAACGGCTTAATTAGAGCCTCCCAAACAATCGCAAAGGATCCACATAAGGAAGCTAAGTATTTGATTTTGCCTGATCTTTGCCCCAAGACACGAACCAGCATTTTTAAAGTGCTTCCCTAAAGTTGGAGAAATGCGTATAAATTTCGCACTTATGTCCCCATTTTTCATATAAACACGTTTTGCTCCCAATTACTCAGAATTTCGCTGCCTCCCTCATCGCGTAACTTTTCATATCGACATTACTAATTCATTGACTGACTCACTTCAAAAACACTTCTTCCATTGTTGTTACAGACATTCCAAATGACGAAATGCCAAGATACGCTTGTTTTGCCTCCAAGTTTGCGAACATTTTTGAAAATCTAAACAAATATGCTGTTAAATGTCTCAAATAATCTCATGACCCCCAGTGCTTACTGTGATCTGCATTTGGCAGAGATAAGGAAATGAGCTTCCTGGCCAACAAAAGATTGAAGTAGAACATCGCTCACATGCTGTTGTAGCAAGTACATCGTTTGGTTCACTTGCTTTTCGGGAAGAGTTGAGAGGTTTTCATAGACTACTGTTAGATGATAACCGTCACCTAAATAAACTCCATGTCCTCTCTTCTCTGAATCTGGGCATTGGTGTTCAAGTTGAATGTGTAGAGTGTTTTGCCGAGCCCAGATTTTTACGGTGAATCTTTTATTGCCTTACGTTTCGACACGTTTCGTCTTCTTCGGAGGCCCTGAAAGAAGATTGCAGTTTTGATCTGTGAGACTACGCCGCCAAACGCCATTCCCCCACTCATCGAGTCCAGACGTTCTCCCATGCACAAAGTACTGAGATGCACGTTGAAAAAGAAACCAACCCTCTGATTTGCCGCGATATCGATGTTAGTAGTCCGCACCGAAGTACTGGACGGTAGCCGCACACTGATGTTGTAGACGGACGGCACTGAGTGTCACTCGTGTGTCACGTCTTTATATGGGTAGGGCTACTTCTCGCATAATGATAGGAAAGGCAAAAGATCATCAATTATCGTCAGGCATTCATTCTTGTTGTTGATGCTTGGGCACTTGATGGAAATCCACAAGGCTTCCAAGGTTTTTCTCGCAGAAATTTCAGTCTCGTGTGCTAAGATTATACATTTTACATCAATTTCTGCGCCATTGTGTGCTTCGAACTCGTGCCTTTTGTCGGCTAGATGCTCTCTAACTCTGATGCTCAACGCTCTGCCTGTCTCGCCTATATATAAAGCCTTAAGCTTTACAGCTCAAACATTCTAATTGATATACAACTCCCCACTTCTCGCAATCTCCTACTTTCCCGTGTGGGCAAACAATAAATTGCTCTGATATACATTCTACGTCGTATAACCTGTTTCGCACTAACTGCTTCCTGATATTATCATTCAGGATATTCAGCATAACATCATTCTGCAGTTGTGCTCGGACAATGCACTGTCTTATAGCCGCACTTACTCTGTCGGAGATGAAAGGTACGCAAAGTGGGATTTTGTTTTTGTCTCGCGTATAGTTTGGCTACGGATCGTACATTGTGATCGTTTTCGAGTCCTTAGACATGTGTAGCCGTTACTACGCGCAATTTCCGCTGCTAGCTGTTTCGATTCAAGACGTTCCTGTTCGCCAGTGCTTACTTCTACAGCCGTTCGATACATGTTCCGAAGAACCGCGCACTTCATTGCTGTAGGATGCGCTGAGTTGGCGTGTATTAGGATATTCTTCGAGCTTCCTTTTCTGTACCACTTTATTCGAAACGTACCACGAGACAGGTGTATTTGTGTGTTCAGGAAGGGAAGCCACTCATCGTGCGGGGTCTCTCTGGTGAAGCGAATGTACTGTGACTGCTGATTTAAAAGCTCGAAACACTCGTCCATTTCGGACTGTGTTGATGTTATTACGCAGCAACCATCGATGTAGCGACAGTACATTATAGGGAAGCGTGCTAATACTGGCTCCTCTATCTTACTCATGAAACAAATCGCGAGGGCTGGTGCAAGTCGTTGACCCATAGCCAGCCCTCTGATCTGGGCGTAGTAATTCCCAGACCATTTGAAGATGTTACACTTTAAACATTCCTGGATGAGGGTCAGTATGCACGCTTTGCTAAGTCCAAAGGTGACCATATCGTTGTAGTAGACGTCCAGCATCTCGGAGAGTGCTTGCAGTGCGGCATCGTTTTGAACATTAGTGTACAAAGATGTTACGTCAAAAGACTCGATGACACTATCTATTATGTTCAATATTCGCATCTCGCAACTGCTTTATAAAATGACGAGTGTTGGACAAATGCGATGGCACCTTTGGCAGCAGCTGGCTCAAGATCTTGTTGAGAAACCATGATATTCTATCAGTGGGTCCGCCAACACAGCTTATTATGGGGCCAATTTATAGGCAGCCGGTGACATAGAATGGTGCTCGGACGATGATAACTTGTGAGTCTTGACCAGATGATAGAAGACTGGACAGTTCGGGTTGTCCAATTTCAATCTGCCGATCAACTTCTTATTAAGCCCTGCAGCTTTTGCCACATCAACCCAGTCGTTCAACTTTTTGCACTGCATTTGGAAGTCTCGTTTCGTAGTCCGCTTGTAAACTGTCGCGTCTAAGAGGTGCAATTCTGCAATCTCTCGATCTAAGGACTGCGGCATTATTACAAACTCGCCACCTTTGTCACTACCTGAGACGCGGATGGTTTTTTGATTGAGCAAACTGCGCACATCTTTAAAGCCTTGTCATTCTTCTTGCGTCAGGTTAGTCTGGCGTACGCGTTTGAAATCATTCAAAACTTTGGCAATTTCAGTCGAAAGCACACGGAATTTAGAATCGACGGAAAGCACTGGTTTTGGTTCTTTGTAGTAAGAACGTGGGAATGGTATAGACATTAGCAAAGGATTGACCGTTGGTGGCAAAAGGGAAGCTTCTTGTGCAGCTTTGAACCTTAGCATATCTCGCAATCTATGTAAGCTGCCGACTACCTTGTGACAAGTGGAAGCACTGATATTTTGTGAAGGCGAGAACGATGGCCCGAGACTAAGAAATTTAACAGCTTGCGGCGTTAGTTGAATGCTACCGGTAACCGTGATTCTTGCACTTACGCAATCATTTGAAGCAACATGTTCTTGGGATTGGTGAGTCTTGGGAAGACTTTCGTTTTCGCAATGCGTCCCACGTAGTGTGCTTGAGAGTCGGTCGTACTTCGTAATGAGCCTGGACTTGACCTTAGATTGAATAGAGTCACAGATCAGTTTCGATCTGCTCTCAATCCTCCTCCATATATCATCAGGTAAAAAACGTTTACAACACAATTCCTTAGCATTACATCTCAATAAGGTGCTATATAAAACTCGTCGTCTTTCCTTGATAACAATCTTCAACATATCATGATACAATCTCTTTATCTTCGCATCTTCTTCGGAAAGGCCACAAAGAGCTCCTAGTTTTTTCTTTGAGATGAACGCAGGTAGGATGTGATTGTTCTTACAGCGTTGGAGGAAGATTATCGACTGTCTTACTGCAATCACCCGCTGGCGAAGCGAAAGAGCTTCGCGTACGTAGATTTTTACGTAAAAATCTGGGCTCGGCAAAACACTCTACACATTCAACTTGAACACCAGTGCCCAGATTCAGAGAAGAAAGGACTTAGAGTTTACTGACCGAAATACCGCCAAATTTGTTCTCTCTTGTAGGGGTGGCTATGGGTGGCTTCCCTTTCTGAACACACAAATACACCTGTCTCGTGGTACGTTTCGAATAAAGTGGTACAGAAAAGGAAGCTCGAAGAATATCCTAATACACGCCAACTCAGCGCATCCTACAGCAATGAAGTGCGCGGTTTTTCGGAACATGTATCGAACGGCTGTAGAAGTAAGCACTGGCGAACAGGAACGTCTTGAATCGAAACAGCTAGCAGCGGAAATTGCGCGTAGTAACGGCTACACATGTCTAAGGACTCGAAAACGATCACAATGTACGATCCGTAGCCAAACTATACGCGAGACAAAAACAAAATCCCACTTTGCGTACCTTTCATCTCCGACAGAGTAAGTGCGGCTATAAGACAGTGCATTGTCCGAGCACAACTGCAGAATGATGTTATGCTGAATATCCTGAATGATAATATCAGGAAGCAGTTAGTGCGAAACAGGTTATACGACGTAGAATGTATATCAGAGCAATTTATTGTTTGCCCACACGGGAAAGTAGGAGATTGCGCGAAGTGGGGAGTTGTATATCAATTAGAATGTTTGAGCTGTAAAGCTTAAGGCTTTATATATAGGCGAGACAGGCAGAGCGTTGAGCATCAGAGTTAGAGAGCATCTAGCCGACAAAAGGCACGAGTTCGAAGCACACAATGGCGCAGAAATTGATGTAAAATGTATAATCTTAGCACACGAGACTGAAATTTCTGCGAGAAAAACCTTGGAAGCCTTGTGGATTTCCATCAAGTGCCCAGGCATCAACAACAAGAATGAATGCCTGACGATAATTGATGATCTTTTGCCTTTCCTATCATTATGCGAGAAGTAGCCCTACCCATATAAAGACGTGACACACGAGTGACACTCAGTGCCGTCCGTCTACAACATCAGTGTGCGGCTACCGTCCAGTACTTCGGTGCGGACTACTAACATCGATATCGCGGCAAATCAGAGGGTTGGTTTCTTTTTCAACGTGCATCTCAGTACTTTGTGCATGGGAGAACGTCTGGACTCGATGAGTGGGGGAATGGCGTTTGGCGGCGTAGTCTCACAGATCAAAACTGCAATCTTCTTTCAGGCCTCCGAAGAAGACGAAACGTGTCGAAACATAAGGCAATAAAAGATTCACCGTAAAAATCTGGGCTCGGCAAAACACTCTACACATTCAACCGTTACCTAAATATTATAGAAATGGAAGCTATCAGAAAATACTAGGTCCCTCTGCTGTGGGTGGAAAGTACAAAAGGGCTGGAAATGCAGTTTTTGTATAGAACTTAAGACTTACCGTATTGCGCTTTTAGGTACATTCCAGAACCACAGCACTGCAGCTGCCCATGAGCTAGAATGGCTATTCTGCAAAACAAAATCAACAGTACTAGACCTAAAAGACTTTGTAGTTAACTCCAGAAAACAAGGAAGAGTTATCCTCTGCAGAATTAGCAAAATTACTATTATTTATTTGTGGAGATAGATCTTTGTGGCAATAATCCAATATTTGCATTGCACGTTTTCGCGAATTCACTTCTAGTTTTTTGAGCTCAGATAATCTTCACTGCTGTCTCGGTTCGCGATCGACCGCTCCCCTTCAAGGCAGCTTCCACCCAAAACCTACTCACCCCAAATTTCTACTTATTCTACTAGCAAGCTCTAAAAGTAGACCAACCGCGTTCGTCTGTCACCTAATGTTGCTTACAAAAGTAGATAACGGAACGGATCCTCTTTGCGCTCCGCCCCCTTTTTGCGCTCCACCCACCCACGGATTGCCCCGGCATGTGTTCTGACAAGCAACGTCGAGAAAAATAGTTTGTGACGTGGCACTGTTGCACAAGACGAGGTTTCCTGTGGCATACGACGTGACTAGAGCCGGGGCACTCGTTCACGCCTGCCAAATTAGGGTCAGAAAGGGCAATTTTGAATTTTCTGGTGGTTTGAACCTCATTTCCCGAATCAGCGCCATGTAAACGCCCGATAACGATACGCTGCCTTTAACACATTGACGACCGCTTGACATATCATGTGTGTCAAGCTTTGTCTACCACGTTGGACCGCTTGACACACATGGTGGTGTCAAGGCTTGAACTTTGTTGAAATAACAACTATTTTAGTACAAACTCATTCCAGTTTTGTTTCGCTCTGAATCTGGAAATGATTTCTCTCTTCTTTGTCAGCCCTTCACAGCTACCGTAGATACACTGTAGATGGCAGTATGCGCGATTTTATCTGAAAAATGCTTACTCATAAAAGGTCTTGGTTCCGAGAGGCAGACAACAAAAATTTGCGCGGTAGTCAATGTGTTAACGGATGGCCGGAGCACGAGTTGCCGTGCAGTTCGGTCGTGGGCACGGTCCCGGCGTTTCACCGTCTGTTCAGTTCCTGTTCGCTGCCGGACCACAACGCAAGTATGCCCCCAGCCTCGGCTATAACAAGCCCACATCCGCGTCATTGCGGCTTTTTTCTCTTCTTTACTCTACTTTCGCTCGTGTCGCTTGTACTATTGATCGGTTGGGCTTTTATGATATCGGCGTTTTGTCTGCGTTTCTGCGCCTTGCGCGGATTTATAGTTTGATGATGGAATGATTGATAAACGCACAAGGATCGAACTTTAGGACGATGAACATCTACGAGTGCATGGCGCGCAGGCATGTGATAGAGCTGAATTTGAAATTGCCATTCAACATCGCTACTGCCTTGGTGACAAGTGCGCCCGACTTATGAGTCAGCTCCCTTTGAAGTTGGGTTAGTTTGAGAGTGTATTGAGGGAGTGATTGTGAGTGAGTTAGAGTCCCATTGGTAGCCCGGAGCGAGCTTAACTACCCATTTGTTGTCATTGGCATATAGCATTTAGTAAATTTTTGTATTATTCAATTTGTTTGTACTGGAGTTGGCGTAAGCGCGATTTGTGTGCACGAGCTCATTCGCAATCGCAGAAGTCCTTTAAGGGAAGAAGCTGGTAGAGGTGCATGGCAGTCGCACACTAGGCTAAGGGGCGCAGACCTCACCGATCCGCAATAGTCACCGTAGGCATGAGAGTGGGAGGCGTGAAGTGGTACCCAGGCAGCCGACTGCTGCCGTAGCCAGCCGCCAGAGCTGGCATCAGCGCCGCATACGGTAAAGCAATTACGCTGACCGTCTGGAATCTGCCGCCGAAAGGTTTCCTCGCACCTCGTCACGGTGAGGAGCGATATCAGCCTCAACGACACCGTTAATATCAATGTTTATATCTTTTAAACAGCAAGAATTTTAAAATTTACTGGAATGCAAATGAACAAATTTACAAAGGAGAACAGTTATGCAATTCAATTCCTTGAAATAACCAGAAGTTGAAATGATCCGAAATACCAGAAAGTGTTTAGTTATCGAAATATTTTTCTGTGAGTCAAAATCGGAGGAGAACGTACGAGAAATGACGGAAAAAGCCCAAATAGCGTTGATAGACTTAGTGATAGGGTTAAGCGAGGTGAATTAGCCAAGGCAGGTCAAATGATAAGTTTTTTTGCAATGTTTCCTTTTTTGGTGTATAGACCAGATACGACTGGGCATCGATGAAAGTTAGAAATGTCGTTGTTAGAGAGCTTAAGCTGTCTACTACAGAAAACTGCGAAAAATATATTGTAAAAATCTAAACAAATGCGGAAAAAATGATTCTGAAATTGAAGTTTTCAAAACTGCCGGAGACTTTCTTTACAAACTAGTAAGTTCTTGATGACCTACGCTGTTCTCTCTATCAGCAAATGTGACATATTTCCACCTTTTGTCAGTGAACTAGTCAATTTTTGACCCACTTTGACTAATTTATTTGCTACCTTGGCTTATTCAGCTCGCTTAACATCACTATGTCTTAAAATGCTATTAAGATTTTTCCCGTCATGTCTTACGTTCTCCTCTGAATTTGATTCCCAGAAAAATATTTTAATGACTAAACCCTTTCTGCACCTTGAATTATTTCAACTTCTCGTTATTTCAAGGAATTGAATTTCATAATCTTTTTTTAAAAAAGTTCTACTCTGTGCAAATTTGTTCATTTGCCTTTTATCAATGGATTATAGATTTTTTGCTGATCAGTATGATATACATTATGATTGTAGGTGCGAGGAAACTTCTCGGCATGAGATTTCAGAAGGTTAGCGTAATTATTTTGCCATATGCAGCAGCGCTGATGCCAGCTCTGGCGGTTGGCTGCGGCAGCACTATCACTCGCTACGCACCCATGAGGAGTTACTAGCTAAAAAATAATGTGGACGCATTCACGCGACCGTGATGCTGCCAGGGTATTTTAATGCAGGACCGCAGTAGCGCGTAATTCCCCGCGACGGCATTTGGCTAAGCAAATGAAGAGGAGGGTGAATATCTGCAACGTACGCGACGCGTTAAGGCCATCAGCTAAGTGCTATTGTTACTGTAGGGCAAAACGACCTTCTCTCGCTTGGAAGCTCACAGACATTACAGAAAATACTTCATGGGCAAAAAAGTATACCAGCTGATTGCAGGGAAAGCCATTCAGGCATTCCAACTTGCATTCCATGATAAGAAAAGTTCATTTTTCTATGAGACCTGAATTTGGTGTTTCAATAAACATGATTAAAGCAGCTCACCTGTCTCCTAGCAAATCAGCTTCTTCCATGAAATGTGTTGCCAAAAGAATAGTTCTACGGCTCTTCTCGGCTTGCAAGAGTGTCCAGGTTTCGTGACGAGCACCCGGGTCCATACCCGAAGTTGGTTCGTCCAGCATCACTATCTAATAGTGAGTTTTAGTCCTATACTTTTGAGGAGATATTGAGGAAGGAAGGAGTCTTACCTCAGAACCTCCTATCAAAGCTATGGCTAAGGAAAGTTTCCTCTTCTGCCCCCCAGAAAGTGTTCCCGCTCTTGCGTGCATTTTGAATTCGATTTTTAGCCGAGTCAAAATATCTACAGCTTCTTTTTCGTGATAATATCGGCCCTAAAACGCATTTTGATTGAACATCGTGAAATTTGATTGACGTGGCAAAAGTCCAGTGATTTTTGGCTTGCCTTCATCTTGCAGAAGAATTCTAAGTGTTCCATGACCGTCAAAGAGCTGAACAATATGTTGTATTGAGGACAAAGTCCAGTTTGTTTGCGCACTTGTGGTAAACTCGTCCGAATGTCGTAGTCATCAATGTAAGCTGTGCCTGATGATGGTGAAGTCACACCTGCAAGGAAAAAAAACTACAACTTGTTTTTGTGACTCAAAAAAATTTTAAAAACCGAAAAAATTGTAATGTTACCTGTCAGCATGCTGAACGTTGTACTTTTCCCAGCTCCATTATGTCCCAGTAAAGCGGTTATTTGGCCATAATACATTTTCAAATTCAAACGGTCAACGGCTTTTTTCTCTCCTAATTTGCCAAACTGACAGTCAATCAACTTCTTGAAAAATGATGTTCCATAGGTTTTCGATAGATTCACGACGTTTATGGTTGCCTAGGATGATTAGAGGATCATTTTTCTCGTTGATGCTGCCAAAAAATTTGAATGATACTCGTAGATTTGGTTCCGGCTCAATTTTCGCAAAACTGCGCTCATTTCCATCCGCCATCGACTTTTCCGAATCCTCGCTTCTTTTTGCTTGACTGGATGGGAACCAGTAGGATTTCTAAAATTACATTAATACATCAATACTTATATAATATTTGGCTTAGCCACTTTTAGTATCTTCGCCCAAAAAGGATAGAAGCGAAGAAGGAAAAGCATAGAATGTGAGCCAAATTTGGCGCACATAATTTTTGGGGTGGGGCATGTGTTAGTAAGCCATTTTGTTTGGGACCCACCCATTGCTCCTATCGATTTATTGAATTTTTGCTGCTTTTGCTTGGAAAACTCTTTATGTTCGCTCAAAAAGGATAGAAGGAAAAGTAACAAGCCATTTTAATCGGACCCACAGGTTGTTCCTATTGATCTAATGGTTTTTTTTGCAGTTTGCGTGGTATTCATTGCTTAGAATGTTGATTCAAGACAAAGCCGAAATTATGTCCCCAGTTTTTCTTCTGCGCAGGTTATAAATCAAAATAATTCTTGAGGAACGGCAAATTTTAACATCTCAGCATTATGGAGCGAAACCAAGGATTTACGAGGCAGCGAATCTGCCGAGTACTAGCCTAATCTGCCGCGTAAGGCCCCGGGCAGACTTCACGCGATTTGATCGTCGCGACTGGATCGCGGCGAGACAACTGTTACAACATCATTCCATGCCGATCAACTTGCATTCGGTTGTGATACTTTTCCAGACCGAAATTTTTGAATGTGAAGTGAAAATGAATGGAAATCTTAGCGATTAGATCGCGACGATTAAGTCGCGTGAAGTCTGTCCGGGGCCTAACGGAATTAGCGGCTGGTATTTTATATTTCTTCGGTAGTACCGACCTCTGTCGGTAGGCACCCCCCCCCCCCCTGCCTTAGTGGTGGACTCCACCCATTCAAAAAAGTGCAATTAATGAGTTTCATATGCAACTTTAACACATTGATGACGAGCCATTTTTTTAAGGTCTGTCCCTGTGGACGAGAAGTTTTCGTGCATCCCTACGCCTGGCCGCATGTATGTATGCATGCATCCATGCACGAAATATAAATTTTGCAAGTCCCGCCTCATGTGGCAAGCTTCGCCCACTTGGCCGAAAATGACAGAAATTGCCCAAATTTTAAGAATTCATGCGAATTCCGCCACTTTTGAAAACTGGGCGGAGCTTGCCGCTTAGGGGCGGTTTGCCTGACGGTGGGCGGGACTTGCCTAAAAGTTGCCTGAATACTTTGCGGTCATTTACGGCTTCATCCATGTTTTTTATAAACAAAAAGGGCCCTTGTGAGGAGCATAGGAGTGGGCGGAGCTTGCCAAAGGGACGGGGCCAACATATGAAGTACATCTGAGCCTATGTTGATTATATGAACGAAAACAGGGAGAATTGGACCGATAGTATTGAAATGGCCGCCGCGCACCATTGCGCGGCGTCCTCCACAGGGACAGACTGCCTGCTGCGCACCATCGCGCGGCGCTGTCGTTAACGTGTTAAATTCACTACTGGACGACTGATTGAGTGGGCTGAGCTAGCCCTAGAGATGAGATAGTCCCACCTGCTTCGTCTTCCACATATGCAATCGTGTCAGGTTGTCCGGAAAATAATGTTGCATCGTGTTTTATCATGCAACATCTGGGCGGGATGAGCACGAAACAAACATGGGTTATCAGCCGATAGACAAGGCAAGCGCTACAAAATGCAGCTTAGACATTTGCTCCATCCACGGTTAGAAATCGAGAAAATAAAATTTGGTATGATTTTGCCAAAGCAATACTGAGATTCTCCCAGATAGCTGATTCTGCAGTATAAACCTTTTTAGGTATAAACATAAATTTCAAGCTCTCTACAAAGTTTGGTATCCGAGGGAAGTCAAATTCTTCGTAAAAAACGAAAAACGCGAATACTTACACTTTTGACCTATTCTAATTTCTCGTATTCTAGCCATAAGAAAGTTCTAAAAACTGTGTGCGTGAATGTCTGTTGTAAAAGGTTTGTGCAAATTGAAGATTCTTGAGACATTTATGGTCGATACGATTTTTTGGGTGTGTGGAATTTTTTATATTTTTGATTCGAACTTCTGTGGAACAAAGTTTCCGCGGAGGATTTTAGTTCATCTTATAGAGCTTGGTTTTCTCTATCAAATGCTACCTCAACCGATCTCTTCCGTGATCATTCTGTCGTAATAGGATGCAATGCGACATTATTTATCGGACAACCTAACACATTATCTAAAAAAACGCTTCCTTACTATTATAGAAGATAGACTTTAACACTTTGACGATAACGTAACCCACATGGTGGGTCATGCAATGACTCTTGTTTCAGAGGTTCTATTATGCTCTATTTCTTTAAAGTACTTCCGCGTTTCTGGGCTGCTTCTCAAAAGCACTGTAGGGATACTGTAGGTGACGGTCTGCTTGATTTTGGCTAAAAACTCTCAACTTGGTCTTGAAGACATTGTCCCAAAACGCAGACAGCTGAAAATGCGCACTGTCATCAAAGTGTTAAAAAAGTTTCGCCGTCAGATAATGGGGATAAAACTTTTTAAAATTTTTATGAAGTAAAGCAAATCCGTGGATTTTTTATCGTGTGATTGAAAAAATACATTTTTCTGCAAAATTTCCTCGCGATTCCTGCGCGTCTAAACGTAGGTCGCCTCTATGAATCATTTTTATTTTCCATACTTTCCCACAGAAATCACCTGTAAAAAGAACCATGGCTTTTGCGGCACTCCTTCACCTCCTGGATAGACTGCTTCTACATACCAAGTTATTAACATCAACAGTATACCATCTACTAACAGCATCACAAAGCAATGACCAATGGTAAGCCGCTGATCCGGAGTGGGCGGGGTGAAGAGCCGGCCCCAGTGAAGACCATCAGCTAAAATTCTTGACATTTTTTGGAAATCTTCATGTAAAATTGTATGAAATTGTAAATACAAAAGTTAGAATTTGTTCGACTAGGTAAACTCCGCCCACCTTGTGTTTCGTACTGTGATAGAAACTGGATACCGTATGCCATAGCGATGTCAGGATTGAGGCAGTTGACCAATCGGACGCGGAGCGGGTACGGTGCTTCCATATCAAAGATACTGAACATTGCATGCCAAAAATAAAGCAACATCCAACCAATAACGGCCATCAATGTGGCCGCGGTTCCTGCAAAGGAATAGTATTAGAGAAAAGGCTAAAAAGGATCTCTTTCACCTGATTGCATGAAAGTTGAGATTGCAAAAGCAAAATAAAGGGCATTGAATGCATAGAGTAAGAAAAATACGAACATAATGCTGCCATCTGATCTAAATCATAACTATTTGTTAAAATTTTCCATAGTCCAAAATTCCATAAATGAAAGCAAAATTGGTCAAATTTTCGAGCAGAATTGAAAATAGTTCTAATATTAAAGTCCAAGCTCGATTATCGATGAATCTTGGCATGAGTTAGTTATTCGTATACGTATTCTATAGCCGATAACCAAGATCGTTAACACGCTTTATTCAAACATGCTAACGTTTCGGTGTCTTCACCTTCGTCGGAGCCTGGAAGGTCGCACACATTAGTGGTTTGTCCCCTCAAACACCTCGTTCAAGCTTAGGTTACACACAACACTAGGTTAGTCTGAAAGCTGTGACGGGAACCAGTGTCAATGCTCACCTCGGCAATCTTCGAATCAAGGTTGAGCAACCACCAAGCACAGTGTCTGTACAGTTAGTAGTACCGAAGACCAGTATAATCGCCTTTTATAGATGATTCTAATCTCAGTGTAGATCAAATCCGCAAAGGGACTGATATGAGATTAGCTCACTATTCATGACAACGCCCTCTTCCTTGCGGTCCATGGCAGGGGCTTTGATGTTATGCGATATGCCTCCAGCGTTTTACGAGGAATTACTTTGGGTTCACGCGTTAAGATTGTGACAGCTATGTCAATAGTTGATCTGGGTGATCTTCTCTGCGATGCGCGCCTAGAGGGGTGTTGGACTTAGATTTTCTGAGACCGTCCAGGTGCTCTTTGATTCTCACACACAGAGGCCTGCCAGTCTCTCCAATGTACTCTTTCCCGCAACTTTGACAAGTTATCAGGTAAACTACTCCGGCCTCCATGCAATCGCCTGATTGACCAAATGGACAGACGACGCAATCGGTATTCATGCAGAGTCGGTCGTAAGAGCGGTTACGAATTAGTTGTTTCTTGAGACTCGGAGGCGGGATATCAATAATTCTAACGGAGTCTTGAAAGCCGGCATGTTCTAAACTTTTTCTTATCGCTTTACTGAAATCTTCAGATATGAAAGGAACACAAAAAGGTATTTTGATATCATTATTGCTTGGCGCGGTCTGCGTTGTTGCCAGGTACGTTTTGTTAAATGGCTTGTGGGATAACCGTTGGATTGCGCAATTTGCCTAGCAAGACTCAACGATGTGGCGAGTTCTTGATCGGAGGAAACTGCTTTAGCAATCCTAAACATGTTGCAGATTACCGACCTTTTTGTGCTCCAAGAATGGGCCGAGAGATAGTGAACTAAAATATTTTTGCTGCTCGGTTTTCGAAACCATTTGGTCTTGTATGATCCATCACGCAACTGCACTTGAACGTTGAGAAAAGGCAGCCAGTTTTCGCTGGGCCTTTCTCGTGTAAACTTTATGTGCGGGGACTGGTTGCTTAGCAGATTGAAGCAAGCGTCTAGTTCGTCTTGTGTTGCGCACACTATACAACAATCATCTATACAGCGGCAATAAAGTATTGGCTTGTGCGCAAATACGGGGCTCTCGATTTTAGACATATAGGCAGTGGCAACGACAGGTGCCAGTTTCTGCCCCATCGCCAATCCCCTAATTTGCTTATAGTACTGCCCACACCATCGAAAAATGCTGCAGCTAAGGCATCCGTTCAAAATCAAAACCGTACATATTGATGGAACCATGGTGCTCACATAGTATTTCGTAGACGGCTTATATGGCCGCTTCATTTGACACGTTTGTATATAATGAAGTGACATCGAATGATTCGATGACACATTCTTCAATTAGCGGTGCCCTACTGACTTGTTCGAGAAACATGCTAGTATTTGTTAGATGGGCAGGAATAAATCGAAGCAACTGCGTGAGAATCAAGTTCAGCAGCCAAAGCGTTCTTTTGAAAGGATGCCTTAGCTGCAGCATTTTTCGATGGTGTGGGCAGTACTATAAGCAAATTAGGGGATTGGCGATGGGGCAGAAACTGGCACCTGTCGTTGCCACTGCCTATATGTCTAAAATCGAGAGCCCCGTATTTGCGCACAAGCCAATACTTTATTGCCGCTGTATAGATGATTGTTGTATAGTGTGCGCAACACAAGACGAACTAGACGCTTGCTTCAATCTGCTAAGCAACCAGTCCCCGCACATAAAGTTTACACGAGAAAGGCCAAGCGAAAACTGGCTGCCTTTTCTCAACGTTCAAGTGCAGTTGCGTGATGGATCATACAAGACCAAATGGTTTCGAAAACCGAGCAGCAAAAATATTTTAGTTCACTATCTCTCGGCCCATTCTTGGAGCACAAAAAGGTCGGTAATCTGCAACATGTTTAGGATTGCTAAAGCAGTTTCCTCCGATCAAGAACTCGCCACATCGTTGAGTCTTGCTAGGCAAATTGCGCAGTCCAACGGTTATCCCACAAGCCATTTAACAAAACGTACCTGGCAACAACGCAGACCGCGCCAAGCAATAATGATATCAAAATACCTTTTTGTGTTCCTTTCATATCTGAAGATTTCAGTAAAGCGATAAGAAAAAGTTTAGAACATGCCGGCCTTCAAGACTCCGTTAGAATTATTGATATCCCGCCTCCGAGTCTCAAGAAACAACTAATTCGTAACCGCTCTTACGACCGACTCTGCATGAATACCGATTGCGTCGTCTGTCCATTTGGTCAATCAGGCGATTGCATGGAGGCCGGAGTAGTTTACCTGATAACTTGTCAAAGTTGCGGGAAAGAGTACATTGGAGAGACTGGCAGGCCTCTGTGTGTGAGAATCAAAGAGCACCTGGACGGTCTCAGAAAATCTAAGTCCAACACCCCTCTAGGCGCGCATCGCAGAGAAGATCACCCAGATCAACTATTGACATAGCTGTCACAATCTTAACGCGTGAACCCAAAGTAATTCCTCGTAAAACGCTGGAGGCATATCGGATAACATCAAAGCCCCTGCCATGGACCGCAAGGAAGAGGGCGTTGTCATGAATAGTGAGCTAATCTCATATCAGTCCCTTTGCGGATTTGATCTACACTGAGATTAGAATCATCTATAAAAGGCGATTATACTGGTCTTCGGTACTACTAACTGTACAGACACTGTGCTTGGTGGTTGCTCAACCTTGATTCGAAGATTGCCGAGGTGAGCATTGACACTGGTTCCCGTCACAGCTTTCAGACTAACCTAGTGTTGTGTGTAACCTAAGCTTGAACGAGGTGTTTGAGGGGACAAACCACTAATGTGTGCGACCTTCCAGGCTCCGACGAAGGTGAAGACACCGAAACGTTAGCATGTTTGAATAAAGCGTGTTAACGATCTTGGTTATCGGCTATAGAATACGTATACGAATAAGTTCTAATATTGTTCAAAAAACGTCGAAATCATTAGGGGGTTTCAATGAAGGTAGGTATGGCTTGAGCAAAAAAGCAAAAACAATTAATTCAACATTTACTACTTGAAGACTAAATAACTCTATATGAATCCCACCTTTAGTCGCGAAAATCATGACAATCAAGCCTCAAGTTTAAAACTACACACCTCTATGCCCTGCAGGTAACAACGCATATTCGCCCAGGACCTTTGTGCACATTCTTTACATCCACTGCACAGTTTAGCCAGAATTCGGCTAGGTGGCTTTCGCACCTCCCGGTTGAGACCACTAGTGCAGAGAGTAGTCATATTTTCAGGAGTAGACTGAGAAGGCTTGACTTGTCAGGTATCGCTAACACTGATTAGTGTTGCATGACAGGGCGAGCCTTCTGCATTAGACCTTTTGGGCTTCCATTGGGTGCTTTGGACGTGCTATGATGGCGGATGGAATCGCTTTGGGCTTTGTTTTCTATCACCTTTCTTCTCCATTTTACCTCTAAAACCTGTCTTTTCAGGTGCTCGGTGATCTTGCATTGACTTGCGGGTTCAGTTGTGGCTGTAAATTATTTCTTTGACGCCTCTTGTGTATCTCCTCACGTTGCGTCAAACTTTTATTTTTGGTGTACTCGTTTTGTTCTAGTTACTAACACAGTTTCATCGACATCTCAGTCCGAGTCTTTTTTGTTCAGCTATCTATTAGTCAATCGTACAGCTTGCTATTTCAACAAATGGATTCAATGAGAATCGTTTCACCTTTGGGGTCATTGGGCCTCCCCAGCACACACCTAGTTGAAGCATCGCGATCACAAAAATGGCAAAATCGCCCCTTTCTGATTTTTGGTGGGAGTCTACTGCAATTTACGATGCGTAGCAAGCGCTCAATTTGAAAAAGGAGAATTGAAAGTGATGAAATTCGACAAGTCTATGAAACAAAGAACTCTGCAAATTGAAAAATCAAAGCATGGACTATAGGAGGAAACTTATAGTAAATCGGATAGTGTAAAAACACATACAAAAAGTACTCTTGCGATTGTTTTTTGTTAACTCTAGGTTCACCCACACTCAAATTACGCTTTTTATTGACTTACTTGACAGTAACGAAATGTAGCAATATTGTCAACACGATAACTGATACTAACAGCTTTACGTAGTTCATGATAAAGTGACCAACCCAATAGATCCATTGGCTCAAACCCATTACTCGCATGTATTCCTGAAAAAATGTTCATACTGAAAATGAAATCTATAGAAATATTGGGTGGAATGCCTCTTTATGTACACACTATCATTTTTTAATGTACTCCTCTAATCTTTCTTTTTTTATCAGGGAAAAAGGTCCTGGCTTTTGCGACATTTTTTCGATCCCTTTGATCGCAGTGTTAGGCTGACTCATACCCACTTTCAGTTAACAACTTCTTCTGAATTATTGCTCACCTTTACTCGGCTTTCCTTCTCACAGACTACACTCCTCACAACATATACGACGCTAGTCATATAGGAGAAGATTACGATAACTGGTAGGAAAAACGATCCAACTTCGATAATTTGCGACTGATAGGCAGGATAGGGGAACCGCCCAATCTGAAAGGAAATTTTTGATTTTATCTAAAATATTTATGAAAATGAATAGACAAAGCCTAAGAACAATAACTATCCTTACCAAAAAGTTCAAATTGAGACGCGGAATATGTTCTCCAGTCAATATCTCGTAAATTGCATTATTGATTGATTTCTGCACAGTCATGAAGCCTTCTTTCCAATAGCCTTAAATGAATGATTTTCCAATAGCCTTAAATGAATAAGTTTAATTTACAATGCGAGTTATCAAACTTTAGATAAAACCATGGAGGTCTTTCTTCAAGAAAAGAAGCTGGATTTACGACTATTTTCGTCGCCCGCAAGCAAATGCTAAGGAATGATTTATTCAAAGACAACAAATTGCTGTAAAAATTCGGTACGTAATGGGTTACCGCAGCACTTTGATTCTCCTCCCCCCCCCCCTCCCTTCCTCTCAATTATAAGTACTTCATTTTTGAATGATCATAAGACATATCCATATCTATGGTACAAAGTATCTACAGCGACAGTCCAGTTTTCAGGAGAAAGTAAGGACAAAAATTCATTTTGAAGGATCGAGGAGCCGTGGCCAGGTTTTCCGAAATATTTCAAATTTCGAAATTTTGGTTTAACTTTGACCCCGAAATTTCTGCAGAAAGAGGCGCGCCAGCAGTTACCCCTCAATCCCCCCCCTTCTCGCCCTAAAAATTTTGAATCATTACAAAGCCAACTTGTATTTTTGGAAGTTTCGGTAAATTCAGTCACTTGCCAGTAAGAACAAGCCTTTCACAGTCCCCACAAATGTACGTATGGCAACCTCTGATAACCTCATGGAGATTAAAAAAACAGCCAATCTCAACTCTAAGCCCCGCCCACCCAAAAAGCTTAAATGCGCAAAAATTTTTATTGCATTTTGTGGCGGGTTTATAAGAATTAAAAAAGCACCAAGTAACGTCAAGTATTCGGAAAGCTTACCCGGATAACCACCGTCAGTTTCTTCGGAGTTTATGGGACCGCTGTCGACCTGGATAGCAAAGACGAATTTTGTGTTCCAAGGCTGATAGCTCTCTATGCCCATAGGCTGTAAATAAACGAGATACAGATTTGAAGGCTACGTTAAACTTTTAGATGCTTACTCCTTTACTTCCTCGATTTGTGTTTGAGAGCCTAATTGTGTACTGAAGATCTGCATCGCTGGATAACCGCTCTGCTATCGAATCTCCAAAAGTTATGCCGGCTGAAAATAGAAATAATTCATTGTTTCAGGGACGTAAATTGAAATAAATATTTTTGTTCCAACCACTATTTGGTATACTTCGGTCTGAATCGAATAGAAATTCGATCATTCGAATACAGCATTCGAATATATCCGCATTCGAAATTCGATATTTGGAGTTCTTCCATTTTCTAATATTCGAAACTCGAATAATTGAGAAAACGGAGTTTCAAATAAAATTCGAAAACTCGAATAATCAAACAACGAGGATTCGAATATTATTCAAAAACTCGAATAATTGAAAAACGGAGTTTCGAATAGATTTTATTCGAATGTTTGTTCGAATTCGTATTCGAATGAACTCCGTATTCAGATTATTCGACTTTGTTGCAGAGCCAACTGCTGAATATCAGGCTCACTTTGTCCGTGTTTTTTTCTCGCAAAACTCAGTAATGCATATTTTGCAACCGTTATATCTTCGAACTGTATGGAGAGTCGCATTCTTCCGACTGCTTGCGACAGTAAAAAAATCATATGTGTTTAATTGATGCTTTTTCGATCAATGAGATTGTCCTCACTGCTATTGGCACCAAATCAGGAAAGAAGCTATTAATTAAGCTCATATTCCGAGCTCATATATTTAAAGTGTTTTGAAATGCCTGTTTTTCTTTCTTTGCATTGCTCATGCATGTGGTATGCGAAGCCCACACTAGTGAGCACTCTTGCTCGCATAAGTTATACCGCACAACTGCCTCTATTCACTACCTCAGAGATTTTTTGCGAATCAGGGTATTTTGAGTAAAGGACATCGCAGTTGTAGTGGAGGATTAGACAGTTTAGATCGCCGTACGCGAATGCCAGTTACGAGATATCTCATGTGTAACGCCAGTTTACCGCAAATGTTCAGCGTGTACAACTTGCTAGAAAGATGAATGCCCTGCATTCTGTGCTTTTAGAATAGGTTTTGGACAATTTGACTATTGCCAAATCACGTCGCCACTGAAATGCCTGCAGTATGCCCGGGGCTATAGGGACATTCGTACTTGCCTCTCGGAAGAAACCACATGCCTTCGTCCGCGACTAGCTTATACCACACAAGACGAAAGTCTCCGATGAACAGGCAATGTATCGTAGCATTTGTGGAATTTAAGTACACATGTGGCCACCGTTACTGCTTCAAAAGATTGCACACCTAGCGCTGTAAATCCGAACAGCTCCTTAGGTGCTTACACCAAGCTGCAATGTTTCTCATTTTCTGATTCTAGTTCCAGCCAATTTCATTTGTTACTTTGCTCAACGTCTTTTAAAGCTAGTGAGCCTGACAAATAAGGTCTGCTGTCGAACAAAGCCATAGCTCCAAGGTGTACAAATGGGTTCTTACCCGATTTTTGGAGAAGTCTGAGCTACGGGGCTGGGACTTGGTACATGGGGGGGGGGCAAATGAGGATGCTGATTAAAACCGAAATTTATTTTATCGATTTCAGCGTTTTCTGGAAAATTTTGAGCTAGGAGTTGGTATATAGGGGATACGAGGGTGCCAGTGGCGTACCGAAGAAGAGGGGGCCCGCTCCCCCCGAGAATGGGTCGCGAAATTTCTGAACTTGCATGGGTTATAAAATTGTGCAAATGACTTGTCTGCACTTGTAAATAATTAAAATAATTTTTAAAAATATTAAAATTCATTTAAGCACAATAAAAAATTTTCGCGGGTTTCGTGGGCGTTTCGGGGTTCTGAGCCCCCGCGCAAGTTTTAAGGAACACCTACCTAAAAACCAACCACCTACCTACCTAAAAAATTTTTTCGGAATGCGTGGTTGACGCCACGCACCTTCATCGGAAAAATTTTTTGTCCCCCTCCCCCCCCCCCCCCCCCCCCGATATGTCGGCAGGTTTGAGATATGGTTGCTCTAATTATTCGATAAATCATTCGAATATTTACTCGAAATTCGACTTACAATGTTCGAGTATGTTCGGGCCGGCAAAGTCCCATCGTCACCTCCCCGCGGTGCCGGCTGGCAACGGGGATCAACACCGACAAACGACGAGGGCACTGTCCCGTCAGGCGGAGCGACGCGTGGGGACTGTACGAATTTGTTGTGTCACATGCATCGGACTATTCGTCAAGCTGCTAGGGCGTCCTCCTGAGGCGACGCGCGTCATTGCCCGTATGGCGCGAATAGTGAATTAGCGCTACCTGCCCCCGGACGAGGCAGGCCAAAGAAGCGAAATCCGACTAGCGACGGTCAATATAGGAACGCTGACGAGCCGCAGCCGGGAGCTATGTGATAGGCTGAAGGAGCGACACATCGACATCGCATGTGTACAGGAAACGAAATGGAAAGAGAGGCAAGCTAGGGACATCGGCGAGGGATATCGCTTACACTACACGGGAGATAGCAGCCGCCAGAATGGAGTCGCGATCATCGTCAGCGGTAGATGCCGCGAATTAGTGACCGAAGTGACGCGCATTTCAGATAGATTGATGGCGATGAAGATCGAAGCAGATGATGCCACGCTTCGAATAGTCTCGTGTTATGCCCCGCAATCCGCACGTACCGAAGCCGAGAAGGACGTGTTTTGGAGGGACTTCGACATCCTGCTAAGGACATTTGACGCGGCAGAGTACATCTTCGTAGGGGGCGATCTTAATGGGCACGTTGGCCACGAACACGATGGATTCAAGCAATACCATGGTGGAAATGGATACGGTCAGAGGAATGAGGATGGAGAACGCTTCTTGAAAGCCGCAGAAGCACACGACTTGGCTATAGCGAACACATTTTTCAAAAAACGGGAGTCACATTTGATCACGTACACGAGTGGAGACCGCTCAACTCAGATCGACTACGGATGCTGCGCCGATGCCATTTGCCGATGGTGATGAACGCGAAGGTTATACCCAAGGCGACACATGTATTTGCGCCACAACACCGGTTGCTCGTATTGGATCTTCGACTGAACCTCCACTTACATCAACGAGCCAGAAGGACGTCCACAAAGAGGATCAAATGGTGGAAGCTTTCCAAACATCGCCAGCAAGTCAGAGATGCTTTTAACGATTTGATGGTGTCGACAAATGATAAAACATCGATTGAAGAGCAGTGGAATCGGATTACTTTGCAGATACGATCGAGGGCCGACGAAATCTTGGGAACGGAACCACCAAGCCAGGACGCCGATTTGTAGACAAGCAGATCTGGTGGTGGTCTGAGTCAGTCCAGAAAGTGATCAAGGAAAAGAAAGAAGCCTTCAAAGCCTGGCAGCGCTCACACTCAAATGACGACCTCCGTCGATATCGAAAACAGAACTCGAAGGCGAAACACGCGGTAGCCGAAGCAAAGGAAGCACACTACAAGAGACTCTACGACGAGCTGGAAGGACCTGCTGGAGCGAACAAGGTCTACCGACTGGCCGCTGCACGACATCGAGCGAAGCAGGACATCGACCACGTCATGCACATTAAGGACGCAGAGGGCAACCTCCTGAAGAAGCCAAGGGCAATACTCAAGCGGTGGAGTGAATACTACAAAGGTCTGTTTGATGAGGAGTTCCCGCACCCGTTAGTACCGCAAGGAGCCCACACATTTGGACCGGTATCTCGGATCGAGGAGTCAGAAGTTGTGCAGGCACTGAGGAAGATGTCTAGCGGAAAAGCCCCCGGACCCGACGACATACTTGCTGAAGTGTGGAAGATGATGGGGCAGCGTGGAGCGGCATATCTCACATCGCTCTACCGCATTATCGTCAACGGACAATTGCCGCGAATCTGGACTACGAGTGTTACAGTCCCTCTCTGGAAGGAAAAAGGCGACGTCAACGACTGTTCAACATATCGAGCAATACACTTGCTATGCCACACGATGAAGATCTTCGAACGAGTCATCGACGCACGCATTCGAAGTATAGTGGAAGTCACCCGAATCAGTGCGGCTTTGTAAAAGGATTTGGCACCATCAACGCCATCCACGCAGTACGATTGCTAATGGAAAGGCATTTGGAGAAACGGATTCCGAGTCATTTCGCATTCCTGGATTTAGAAAAGGCATTTGATCGGATACCACACAAGCTGATTTGGTATGCGCTAAGACAACACGACGTCCCAGAATACGTTCGCTGGATCAAACTCCTCTATACGAATACGACGGGCGCCATACGCTGTGCAGTGGGAACTTCAACGCCATTCCCAACCCAAGTCGGAGTACATCAAGGATCAGCTCTATCACCGATTCTGTGCATGGACACGGTGACCAAGGACATTCAGCTGCCGCATCCGTGGACGCTCCTTTACGCAGACGACGTCGAGCTAGCAAGCGAATCGAGACAAGAGCTTGAAGAGGCGACTGTGAGATGGAAGACACGATTAGCGGAATATGGTCTGCGATTGAACGTAGCAAAGACCGAGTACCTGGAATGCGGAGAGCAAACCGATGGCACAACTAGCATCGATAGGCAGCCGCTGAAGAAGGTCACGATATTCGAATACCTGGGCTCCCGAGTGACGTCGGATTGCGACACGATCACTGATGCTCGTGCTAGGACGAACGCGGCGTGGCTAAAATGGCGGCAAGTAACAGGAGTACTCTGCGACCGACGAATTCCGTTGTATCTCAAGTTGAATGTGTATCAGACTGTGGTAAGGCCAGTCGCACTGTACGGAGCCGAATGTTGGCCAGTAACCAGGAAACACGAGCAGATCCTGAGCACGATGGAGACGCGAATGATAAGATGGATACTTGGCCTAACGAGAAGTAACTGCGTCACGAACGATGATGTACAACACATTTTCGGAGTTGCACCTATCGCGGATATGATGCGAGGTGCCAGGTTACGATGATATGGTCACGTTTTACGAAGTGAGGATAATACAGTAGCAAAAACAGCACTTCGTCTAGATCCGCAGGGAAAGAGACTACGTGGCCGGTCGAAGCAACGCTGGTTGGACACCATTCGAAACGACCTGCATATTGCAAAGCTAAACCACAAGAAGCTGATCGAGTCAAATGGAAGCAAAAATGCACCACCGCCGACCCTGCCTCGCGGGACAATGAAAATAAAGAAGAAGAAGAAGAAGAATGTTCGAGTATGTTCGACATTCATTCGATATTTTTGATTTTCCGAATTTATTCGGAACTCATTCACTCGAGAATTTTTGAACCTCGAATATATTCGATATTAGTTTATTCGAAATTTTTTCTTTTTGAATTTATTCGATATTCGTTCATTCGATGAAAAATTTTCGAATTACCCAAGTATACTATTTGGTCCCATACAATCAGAATCAACCGCTCAGTTTGTGGTTTTGAGCTTGATTTTAGGCTGATTGGAAAAAGGACACTGTATGGAAAAATAAAGTACGAAGAAGAAGAAGGTTGAAGAAAGGGGCCGAGAGGGAGTCAAAAGGGAATTTCACGAACGCTGAAATTTATAAAAACAAAATATGAAACACCACCCACAGGAGAAAAAGCGGTAGCTGAGCTAAGATTTCTGTTTCACCTAACATTTTGGCCCGTAGCAAACCCCCCATCAGTGCAACTCGACTGGTGCGGGCCTACGCTGAACGTAGGACGCCTCATTCCAGCGTCCAGTGAGCTATTGATTTGGATGGATAATTATGATAATCATGTGCGTTTTTGAAAGAGAAACCATTTTAGCCGATTTGTCAAACAGATAAGCGACTGGAATTGATTGCGCGTAGCCATGGTTCAACACCGGCTAGTGCCACACTTTTGCTGTATCGCCTAGCGTCTTTGATAGCAACCGCTATAGCAAAATCGATGATGACCGCTACCACGGATTTCGCCCAGCACATGCATGTATAAAACAAAAGCACATTTTTTGACGAAAATCTCATAAAAATGAAATCTTTACAACATGGACTCATGAATTAAACCAGCAAATTCTTGTCTTGAGCAGCTTTTCAAAAAAAGTCAGCAAACTTTACAAAAAAGAAGAGGATCTGTTTTCTTCCTTTTCACGCTAAATCAGCTGTTCAATTTTCTCCTTTTCGAGAGCGTTGGGATAGTGCAGTTTTGCGCCGATTTTGTCTGCAGTGCTAGGCAAACTGATTTGTATCGTAAGTTACTCAGAAGCAATTTACGGGAGCCTTCTCTGTGTCTCCGCTTTTCCACACTATTTGCATTCGCCTAACATCAGTTCACTCAGCTCAAATGAACAACAGTTACTGCAGCAGAGACGGATGGCTAACTGTCAGTCCACTTGCCATGCTTATAGCATGGGAAGGTGGGCAGTCATTATCTCACTTGACGTGAGCTCAATTGTTGGGTTAAGCTCAGTTCACCTGAACTGATCGACATTACTACGGCCCATTTTCGCTCCGAATACTAGCCCCCATCACATATGATCTTCCACACTTCCACAGCCCCAACCCTTCATTTTTGAACCACGTCCTTTTTGATCCTTTTCCCTTCCCCTTCTGTACTCTCATATCAGAAAACCAAGTAAGCGAAATGTGCGGAACTTTTCGCCCCGTGGATGCCTTCCTCTCCTTCTCTTCCCCAAATACGTCTTTTCACGCTAGGTTTTTTCAAAAACTAAAAATTTGAGATTATAATTACTTCTAGCAAACTGCTACGCTTCTAGAGTACGTCATGAGACAAAAAATATTTTAAAAACAAGAAATTACCGTGGATATTCTGTAGTAAGTTAGCCTCATTCTCTTGCAGAATGTTGAATCCGTAAACGACGAGTGAATAACAGTTTCAAGATAATTTCCAGCAAAAATGGGAAGTTTTTTGTGCATATCAAGAACTTTTTCAGCCATTTCACATTTCCTATATCATGATTGGTAATCGCTGAGGATAACAAAAGAAAAATGTAAAAAAAAACGTTTGAAGTACATGAATGTAAAAATTGTAAAGACAATCGTGAAGTAAATGAGTGTGAAAGTTGTAAAGACAATTTGTGACAAATTAGGGGCAAGTTGGCTGCAATACCGACGAAAGTAGCCTTCACTAGAGTTCATAAATCTTCGATTTACTCAAAGTAACAATCGGTAGTGCTAATGGACAGTCTTAGAATTGTGACCGAATAAAAAAAACAAGGGCCAACGAGTAAAATCTTAGTAAGAGAAAATTCGAAGAATCAATTCCAAAATAAGTATTTTACATACTAGCTGGCTTTCCCGGCTCCTCCCAGCCTTTCAAAACACTATGACAAAGGTTCCATCCCTATCCATGTACAACCTTCCCTTGTGCCCTCTACATGCCAATTGCCTATTCTTGCTGCGTTAGTGATTTGCATGCTCGATTACTCCCTGTGCCAACTCCCAGCCCTGTAAACTTTACAAAAAATCGATAAAAATCGATAAAATCGATATTGATCGATGACGAAAAGTAGCCTATGACACCCGCTCGGTCCCGAGGTGTATCTGTGCAAAGTTTGGCCCGGATCGGTTCAGAAGTGGATTTTTATATTCGGAACATACGCACAGACCGACAGACAGACAGACATAAGACAGACAGACAAACAGACACTCAGCTTTTTATAAGATTTTCACGACATACCTAGAAGTGGGTTCGAGCACTGATCTGAAAAGGAGTCTTTCGCATAGTTCACCATCTCCTCCTCTGTCTTGAAACCTATAAAAGCTTATGTATTTGTTAAGCTAGCTATCATATTGATTAAATCTATTCACCCACCTTTAATACTCATCTTTGATCGAAAAAATTTTGGTAATAGTATACTAGAGGGAGAATCGATTCCATTTGGGTCTAAACTTACCAAACCTGGGAGTTCGAAAAGATTTCGTATGAATATCGTATTGCGTTTCTATAAGAAAGTTTGTGAATGAGATGAATCGCGAATTTCTGAGTTACCTGTACCAGCGTCATGATATTTGTTGTTATATCGGTTAGTGGTGCATAGATCAGCTTGATCTCTAGGTAAACTCCTCCGTCTGCTACTGTAACGTTGAGAAACGGACATTCCACTGAAGAATTCGTCAGCAGACTCGTGTAATCCAAAATTGCAGACTGGAATGAACGCCTCTAAAACCAGTGTTCTGACCAAACCTCAGTACCGTGATCTCTCAAGTGCTTAAAATAGTTGTTCTGAGAACGTGAGATTTCAAAGCCCTCAATATGGCAACCAGCTTAGACGCAATTCATAGTTTTTTTCGTGAAAGATAATTGCAATCTCGAACCCTTGCCATAGGGGGATGGGGGATGCGAAAGGCGACAATGCGCGCAAAATGCAAGCAGTGTAAAACTGCTCTTGCTAAATTTTACAGAATTTCACTTGTGTATCGAGCCATGTATCTGCACCACTCCCTTTCCCTACCTTGGCGCCGTGTCACTTTACCCCGAGGAGTTTTAAAAGGCACAAAAATGGGGGGGGGGGGTCGCCTTCGGCACCACATTCCTTGCCACATTCTCTACATCGCAAAAAAGAGGATACGGTTGTGTGTGACGGGTTAGTCAGAAACGTTCGAAACGGTGCTGCTCAAGCAATGATTTGCCTGAGACACTCGGATTGGTTTCCAACTGATAGCGATCAATATCTACTTCATATTCTTTAGATTTTAATCAAATTTCGTTAAAAATAACCAGCAGCGCAGAAAATTTCCAAGTGGTTGTCACTACGCCAACTCTATCTCAAACTTTTGGAAAACTTGAGCGCGCAAAAAATCTGAAAAGCGCTTCAAAATTTGGGAAGGTATGGTTGGTGCTATATCTCTTTATCCAGGAAACTCTCCTGTAACCTTCACACTATCAAAGGAAGTTTTTTTGGACCCGCAACTGTACATAGTAGTGCATATGAGCTCTTGAACACGACTCCGAGGCGTAGGCTTCGCGTCGCGAGTACCGTAGCTGTATGCAGTGAGGGGTCACAGCATATGAGCCGCAGCCTTTTTACGGTAGAGCTAAAAGACCTGTATTACATGGGACAACTATTAAACGATGATAATCAGTAAATGAAATTATCCCATCTAGCATAGATATTTTCAACCAACTCACATAGGGCCTTCTGATATCGGTTGGATAGATGAAATCAACAGCACTTCCCATTACCGGCCATGGCTGGTAGTTTTTCTGGTAATGGTATTTTTCGAAGTGCCCTCGCAGCTGGAAGTATCCAAAAATGACAGAGATAGTGAAAAAAATTACAAAATAAGGACTATACAATTCTTTTTTACTTCGGAAAGAGAATGTGATACTTACCCCTATCATCAAGCCGAAACTGATAGCTATAAGAAGCAGTGGGACGAAAAATTCCATAAACGTGAACCATGGTGAGCGAATTTGCTGTAGAAAATTTTTCCATAGCAGCAGTCGCAGCTGTGCTGCTGAGTCCATCAGGCTGAAAACAATACAATTGGTGTTCCGTTTTCATTGTTCGATGCCAATCCGAAAAAGAAACTGATTGTTTGAAAATACAACTCAATAAGCGTCGAACAGAAATAATTCTCAAGAGAGGAAAACTTCAGCAGCGGAGGTCAAAGGAAAGAGAAGGGCGGGTGCAGTCGCGAAAATTGGAGTTACTTTACCAATTATTTAGAATCATCTAGTTGATTTAATTTAAAACGCAAGTAATCAAAAATGTAAGGAAGAAAAGCACTTGATCTATTTATCGGATTATCGGATAATGATCTGGCGCGCAAATGCGCTTAGTTTTTTGTTTGTTGAGTAGTTCTTGATTTTGTCGACAAGGAGCGGCGGTGGCGGCAACGATTGTTCCCTTTTTTATCAGTTTTCTGTTTTGTTCTGCTTTTCCACCTTGTGCGACCAAAAAGGCAGACTCTTGTTCATTTGTGGGTTTTTCCCTTGTCAGTGAATTTTTTTGCTGCATGCTAGCAAATCCTTCTAGCCCACGTGGCTCGCCACCGATCATTTTTTTACATTTTATTTTTACATGGGGGCCGAAAAAATTTGAACATGGGTAACAATTTTATTGTGTCCTCCACATCGGACACGTCGATTCTTCGTCCTGAGGCAGGCACAGAGGAAACAAATATATTTATTATAGAAATTATAAAAGACAATAGAAAATGAGAGGCAAAGTAGTGAACGATTGAAGTGACAATGGCTAACAGCGAGCGCCTTTTATAGCGTTCATTTCCCGCGCATTGAGGTCGCAGGCGCCTCAGCGAGGGCAGATCATACGAGGAAACAGATCAGACACTAACACAACACCTCCCCTAGTAGGGTAGTTACACAAACGATAAAAGCATGAACTACAAATATGAACAGCTAAGAAATCGGTCATACATAGAAACTTAAACAACTACAAAACTAATGCAACAAACATACAATAAAATATTATACACTAGGTTGGAACCGTTGTAAAAGTCTTCTCGTTCTGCTCGATCTCCGAAGCGTTGTCGATGGCGTGGAGGGCTCATGGTTTGATGTCGACGTCGATGTCGTTGAATCCACGGGTGCTGGCACATCGCTCGCGATCGCTTGCTCGGAATTTCCTTCAGCAGCATTGCCATTCCTCGGTAGTGTGTCGTCTTCTGTCAGAACATCTAACAGTATCTTCAAGGCTTCGGATTGTTGTTGAAGTTGTTGTCGTACGGCGACCTGTTCATTATCGCTTCGATGCCTTAGCTGATTTGCATGCTTCTTGCATATCTCATCACCAACCATCATAACTTATAATAACGGGCTAAGGTTGTTTACGTGTTTTTGTGTATGTGTATGTGTGTATGTCTGTGTGTCTGTCTGTAACGAAATTCGTAGAGCGAATTCCAACCAACGTTCTGAGCCCAAATTTTGCACATCGCATGCGACCAACATAAGAGCCTATCGTGCAAAAGTACGAGTGGTTTTGTTGGTTGGATCTTTCAGAAACTGCGCGTCAAACGAAACCACTTGGGTTCTAACCAGCAAAATTGGTTCTGTATCACCACTCTTGCGAAATCGGTGATGTGTTTGGCATGCTGATGTGCAAGCCATGGACTTAAGTCCAAAAAAGTGGACAAAAGTTCACTACTTTAGGGGGACGACGCCAAAAAGAAATGGTTGCGTAAATGATTAATTTGCCATGGTTTTACCTGAGCATTCGAGAAAGTTTTTGCACAAAGATGTAGCTCACGTTGCCTACTGTCCTTATGGTAGCTACCAAGCCAGAAAGAGTCCAAAACCTATTCAAATTTGTATTTGTTCTTTTGCGAAAAGTTTCATCCAAGCGAAATCACCGATCTCACATGAAAAAGCATTTTAAATGGGTAATTGTTTACATTTTACTCGCGATAATCGGCACTGCGCGGTGAGTTTCATTGCCATCTCTAGTCGAGGATGAGTAAGGCATATGAAGTAAGACCAGTGCGAGCCTCTGCGAAGCAGAGATGACGCACTGGTAACTTCATAATTTACGCGTCCAATACATCTCATCACGGTTCCTTTCATCCAGTGGAAATGGGGTGGCTTCCACTGCTTAACGTAAACTAAGTCACCGACTTCGAAATCTTTTCGAACGACTCCATGCTTCTGGTCAACTGATCCTTCATGCGCTCTCGTCTTCTTCGTGCGAGTGGGTCTTTTGCATCTTCTGCCATCGGTAATAACAGACTTAATTTTGTGCGCAAGTTTCTGCCGAGAAACAATTCTGCTGGCGTCATGTCTTCAAGTTCGTGTTTGGTGTTGTCCTATACTCTTGTAACACCACATTTAGTGTCTCTTCTGTCTCTCCTCCCCCTCTAGTTTCTTGATTCCGCGTTTCAGCGTATCAACGAAACGCTCTGCCTGTCCATTCGAGTGAGGGTGATACGGAGCAGTCCTTATGTGGGTGATTCCACCTTCTTCGCACATTTTCTTGAATAATCCGATGTAAACTGGGTACCATTGTCGCTCACTATTGTTTGCGGTAATCCATATCTCGCAGACAAATTCTTGAAAGCCTTCACCTTCTTCGCAGCCGAGATATTGCTCATCTCGATCATTTCAGGCCATTTGCTGTAGGCATCTACCACGACCAAGTAGAAAACTCCTTGCATGGGTCCAGCGAAGTCGATGCGTATCCTCTGCCACACTCGAGTCGCGGACGGCCATGCTTCTAATGGTACCTTTGTCGGATTTTTGGCTAACTCCTGACATTTCGTGCATCTTCGTACCAAGTCTTCGCAATCCTTGTCTATATTCGGCCAGTAGACGTGACTTCGGGCCAGTTTCTTCATCCTTACAATCCCTGGATGACCACTACATATGTAGTTCCTTCAGAGCATTTCCTCGAAGCTCCTTGGGTATCACAACCCTTTCGGCTGACATCAGACATTGCTCCACGATTGACAATGTCTCTCTTCGATTTCGAAAATGTGACAATTCTCCATTTACGTCTGGCCACTCTCCTGTCTTCACGTAGGTCATTACTCTTTAGCACTGGTTCCTTCTTCGTGTAGGATTGCACATCTGATGCCGTCACTGGCAACTTCCTTATACAGTTCTTCAACATGTAATTTACGTCGTTTTCAACGGCAGCTATCACGACGTCTTCTTCGGGATTTTGATTCTTCTTCATCAACCGTGACAAGCCGTCTGCTTGTCCAAACTTCGTAGTTTTGACATACTCTATGTCAAAGTCATATCCTAGCAAGATTGTAGCCCATCTCATGAGTCGGTTAGCGGAGTGGACTGGAACTCCTTTCTTATCACCGAAGATGGCTAGCAATGGTTGATGGTCCGTCAATAGTAGAAATTTTCGTCCAAATACGTACTTGTGAAATTTCTTGACAGCGAAGACAATTCCCAACGCTTCCTTTTCGATTTGCGAATAATTCTCTGCTTTCGTAAGAGACCTCGATGCGTGTGCAATTGGCTTTTCGGATCCATCGGCACATCTATGCGATATTACGCATCCGATACATAGTCACTAGCGTGCGCTGCCACGACTATCTTCTGCCTTGGATCATAGTGAGCAAGGTTTAGCTCACACGACAAAGTTTCCTTGAGCTTTTCGAACGCTTCTTCGTGTCCATTGCCACTTCGCATCTTTCTTGAGCATCGCGTCCAATGGTCCACGAAGATCCTTAATCTTTGGCATGAACGCCGCATAGTACGTTATCATGTCAAGAAAAGCCCTCAGTTGACTAACATTCTTCGGCTCATCCATATTCTTGATCGCTTCGATCTTCGCTAAGTTCGGTCTTCTGCCATTTCAATCTACTATGAAGCCAGATAACGTATTTCTGGCTTGCCGAAAGAACACTTCTCTAACCGAATCCTGAATCCACATTCGGCTGTCCTTGCAAAGACAGCGAGTAGATTTTCCATGTGTTCTTCTTCGGTTCTTCCGCAGACCAAGATGTCGTCTAAGTAAGTTGCTACCCCTAGCAATCCACTCACCATCTTGATCATGATCTGCTGGAAGATTCCTGGTGCTGTCTTGATTCCAAAAGGCAGTCTATTGTACTGGTACAATCCTTTATGCGTATTTATCACAACCATTTTCTTCGCTTCTTCTGACAACTCAATCTGCAGATAGGCGTCCGACAGATCTATCTGCGAAAATATTGTACCTCCATTGAGCGATGCGAATATGTCCTCCGGCAGTGGTAACGGATAATCGTACGACTCCAGCGCTCTGTTGAGTCCAGTTGAGAAAGCAGCACACACTCTCAACTTTCCATTTGCTTTCCTGACACATACAATGGGAGCTGCCCAATCGCTGTGTGTCACTGGATTTATGACCTTCAGCTCCAATAACCTGTCCAGTTCCTTTTCGACAGCTTCGAGCGCAGCATGTGGAACAGGCCTGCAAGCCTTAAAAACGGGACGAACGTTTTCGCTAATTCTCATGTGTGCTTTCTCCTTCGTGCAGAGCCCTAAACCTTCCTTGCAGACTTCTGGATAGGCTTCCTTCAGCTTCAGAGCGATGTCCTTAATTTGCTCTGTCTTCACTTCAGCAACCATTTTGCTCAAGTGATACGACATATCTTCGTTCTTCTGGATCCACTCAAGTCCTAGCAGTGAGTTGTGGGGCGTCACGTATGCGTAGCCTTCGCTTCTGGATCCTTTGATCTCATACTCACACCATAGCTTTCCATAAACTTTTATGGAGCCTCCACTAGCATTCTTGACGATCACGCTTGTCTTTTCCAACTGTGGAGTGCCCATGCTTCTCCAAACCGCTTCGTTTAGCAAGGTGATATCTGATCCTGTGTCCAGTAGAAAACTAACTGGATGGCTATTTACTTTCGCTTCCACATATACGCGAGTTGAATTCACTTCCATCATCGCGTTCGCAATCTTTGCTACGCTGTGCACATGACGTTTTGGTTTCGTCCTACTTCGGTTCTTACTGGTGTCGCTGCTTCTGTGGATTCTTCGTTTCGAATCTTGCTGAACATGGGCTTTTCTCTCGCCACTTGTTCGCAATACTTCTCCTTGTGACTT